GTTATACTGGAGTAGCCTTTATTATTTATAAATAAATGTTATACGTAAATGTTGAATTTTATACAATGCCATTTATTACGAGCTAGGGTGTCTGACTTTTTTTTCTTGAGTTTCGAGAATTCTCGTACCAGTGAGTGTTGGGCAAAATTTAATTGTTTTGGGGACAATTAATTAATTGTCAATTGCGAAACAGCAATTAATGATTGATCAATTGTTAGTTGCGAGAACCGCAATTAACAATTAATCAATTGTTGATTGCGGTTCTCGCAACTAACAACAGAAAGGACACCACTACAACGAACATACACTTTAACAACAGGATATACATATACATATACATACATCAACTTAACATAATATAAAATATATAGGTTTTTAAACATCACAATAAACAAACAATCATTAGACAATGACAACTCTTACCACATATAAAAAATATATACACTATAAAATAATATAACATAACATATGCTAGCCTAAATAAACTACACAAAAACAGACAAAAGTAAACCTAAAAAAAAATGAAATAAAATGAAAATTAAAAACAATAATAAAACAAATCAAGAAAAACACTTCACTTAAAAAATACCCCACTCGTCGTACCTCTTTTGATTATCCATTAAATACAATTTAAAATTTCTCTTGAACATGGCAATCGTGGTATTACGGTTTATCACTGATGACGGTTGATTCCGCCAACAGTCATAGTCGTACTGCTCATAGTTCTTGCAAATGTTTCTTGTGCATGAAAAAGTACAGCTATGGCGGTAGTAGGGTATTTACCATTGTGAGATAATTACAAAATTAAAATGCGCGATATTGATTGCGCAAGAGAATCGCTTTCCAAAATAAACACTTAGGTACTAATTAATAATTATAATTATAATAACGCACACACTCAACATTGCCCCTCATTAGGGAAACCCTGTGTCGGGTGTGCCATGGACACACGTATAGACAACCACAAATTATACCGAAACTCACGAGAGAAATAAATATAGGGCGTACACATATTTCTCCCGAAAAACCTAAAAAAATACTTTCGGGATTATGGAAATTCAGGCAAACGTTATTTCGGGCAAACGTATTTTCGATCTTCTGATTCGTAATCCCGAGCCGTAGAAAGAGTACAACAATATTTGAAAGTATTACTAGCGTGTAGGAAAAAATATTTTAATAATAACATTAGCATCAAAGCGACTCTATGAAATTTTTGTTCTAAATATTTCAAACGCTTGTGTTTCAAACAATTGAAATTGACGTGATGGGTCTCGTTCAATCTTTTACGCAAGCAATGAGTCGGAAAGAGACAGTTAGCTATTTGATTATTTTGATAGCTTTTGTAATTTATATTTACGATTAATTTAAATATAAATTAAATGCTATATATACTAGTGCATAAAATAACACTTTTAAATGATAACTATGATAACACAATGTAGTACTTACTGAAAATATGATATACCATCCTGTTTTTTCACCGTAGTTGAGTAATTTTTACAAGGTTTTACTACACAATAAGGCACATCATTGACAAGCGCGCTGTCAGTCGAACAAACGAAGACTAAAGCATGATTGACGTTCGACTTTATGCCATTTCCATTCTTTTCTTTCTTCCGTGGTGGAAACAAATGAACTCAAAGGGATGCAAGCTAAAGTAAGGCTCAAATATATCAATGCGAAAGGCAGAAGAGATGTGTTTATGTAACAAAAAGTATTTTGAATAAGCATTTTGTCAAAACTATGTTATTAATTGGTGGTAAACACAGCTATAATCAGTGCAACAAGTATAGGTTATATACTCGTTGAATCAGTGCACTGTGATTCCCCCATAGGCCATAAATCAAAAAAAATCATTGGCTTATCCCGGTTAGATCAACTCACTAAGTTAGTAACTAGTTAACAAGCTTCCAAAAACTATAAATATCAATGTAATTAGGTCACGTTATCATTCACTTTTGTGCATCGGAAGTGAGCGCATCGCGAGACTAATTATCACCACGTGTGAGTCATCGAAACTTAATCACTTTGTTTTTGAGTGTCACTATTCCAAATCAAGTGTTTACGTGTTGTGAAAGCATGGAGATCCAAGAGCATGGTATGCACTTTTATTATCAATTTTTTTTATTTTTTTTTATGCATATTTTTTTTTATTGAAGGCAGTTTTTTGGTGAAAATTTTTGGCATAACTTAATTTCCTTTAGACCTACAACTTTTGGCTGCGCTGAGCTGCACCTGAGGTATATGGTTTTTGAATAAGGAGTATGTCCTTATTAAGAGCTATAAGTTTCATTTGCATCTTGCTGCCTCTTCTTGGCTTAAAGGGGTGTCAAAGTATGCATGTCCATAGTATTGAATTTTTAATTTTTTTTTAAGTTCAGCTTTCATATTGTTTTAGGTACATTTTTCAAATGTTCTGTATCGAGGATGACAATTTTTGATATTTGGCACTCTAAAGTGGGTAATCCAAATGAAAAAATGCAACACGTCCTGAGCACTTTGACCGAAACATCATCCCTTTCTGACGACATCGAAAATATTGATTTAGAGACTTTAAGCCTTAAAATTAAGAATATTTGTAAACGAATTTCCCACTACTGGGCAATGTCGAATCGTACTAGATCTAAATTCTTAGAAAAATATTCAGATTGGCTGCATGTCGTTGAAAATATTGATGTACAGCGAACTGAGTTACGTGTATCTCAGAGCTTTGACGAAGTTAAACCATCAACTTCTTCATCGCATGGCCGTCCGAGAATTAACTTTGACGACACCAGTAAACGTACAAAAAGGAGAAGATTGGCTAGTTTGTCTAACCAAGACCCTTCTCTTGTACAGTCATTGCTCAATGCGTCCGATAGCTTGTCTTGTCCTGAAATCGATTCTAGCGAAGTTTTATCGCTCATTGTTGAAGCTCAGTTAACTCGACATCAATATATATTAGTAAAGAAATTTATAGACAATAAGTTTTCAAAAACCATTTTCCCATCTTACCAAAGTGTCGTGGAATCTAAAAAACACTGTTATCCTTCAGATATTACTGTTACAGAATCATCCGCCGAAGTCGAACTTCAAAGTTTATTAGATCATACTGCCAATCGGATTCTCAAGTCTCAAAAAGATGTTTTGGATAGTGTACCTAATGAGTCTCTAGATAAGATATCTTTGATAGGGAAATGGGGTTTCGATGGCAGTACAGGGCATTCAGAATATAAACAGTGTTTTTCTGACTCCACTCTTGAAGACAGTAGCCTGTTTGTTACTTCGTATGTGCCACTTCAGCTTGTTTTGACAACAGATAACAAAGAAAATTCAGTAGTTTTGTGGAAAAATCCTCGTCCTTCATCAACTCGATACTGTCGTCCTATACGCCTCCGATATTTGAAGGAATCGACTGCAGTGTCAGTTGAGGAAGAAGCTCATTTTAAAGATAAAATAAGGAACTTGCAGCCTACTGTTTTCAAGGAAGAAGATCGCGAATATCGCATTACTCATTGTTTGCAACTTACTATGGTAGATGGTAAAGTGTGTAATGCACTTAGTGGTGTTTCTTCATCAAAATGTTTTATTTGTAACGCCTTGCCCAGTGAAATGAACAAAATTGACGAATGTTTAAATAAGGAAGTCGATGAGAGTAAATATGAATTTGGTTTATCACCTCTTCACGCGTTAATACGTTTTTTTGAATATTTTGTTCATGTCGCGTACAAGTTAGATGTTAGGAAATGGCAAGCTAGGTCCGCTAATGACAAAATGCTTGTTGCTGCAAAAAAATCATATGTTCAGACTCAATTTAGAGAAAGATTAGGGCTTATAGTGGATAAGCCTAAAAGTGGCGGAAGCGGAACATCAAACGATGGTAATACAGCCAGGCGGTTTTTCTCGAATTCAGAAATTTCCGCTGAAATTACTGGGATCAAGAAGGATCTCCTAGATCGTTGCTGGATCATCCTTCAATGTTTAAATTCGGGATATAATATTAATAAGACGAACTTCGAAGAGTTCGCTTTAGAGACGGCTCGGCAGTTAGTTGCCGAGTATCCGTGGTATAACATGCCTGCTTCCGTTCACAAAGTTCTAATTCATGGTGCTAATGTTATAGATTACGGTTTGTTGTCAATCGGAGAGTTGTCTGAAGAAGCAGCTGAAGCGACTAACAAATACATCAAGTCTTTTAGAAAAAATCATACGCGTAAAATGAGTCGCATTGTGACCAACACAGATTTAGTAAATAGGCTGCTTCTTCATTCAGATCCCTTCATAACAGGTCTACGAAAGTTACCTGTTAAAAAAAAAGGTGTACTGTCAAAAGCTGTATTAGACTTGTTATGTATTTAAAGTTAATATTGTTGAGATTTAATGTATTTTGGTATAATTTGTGTTTTGTTTGTATTTTGTAAAATGAACTTTTTTATGTATTTTTATTGTTTTAATTTATTCATTTGTGGTTATTGTTAATACAAATAATCATTATTTACACAGTTTTACCATTAAAAGTCGCAGTATAAAATGTTTTAGATACATCGTCTAAAAACAAAATTACTGCGAGACATTTTTACACCTAAATATTGTCAAATATTTTTTAAAATGTATAATTTTATTAATTTACGTTTACCTAATCATATTTTAACGTAATAAAATAAAAAAATAATAATAATTTCGGAGTTACGTATTTATGACCGCCTTAGTATGGAGCGTGAATCACCGTGCAGTGCCTCTACCATGAGAATACAGTGACTACTGGCGTTTTTTACTTCACACTTATGAAAACATGTATAAAAAATTGTACAGCCTCCTAGTGGTCGCGAGAAGTAGTAACTTTCATATACAAACATTTTATAATGTATTGAGTGTGTGGTAGTGTGTGACATATCAAACAATGAAATATGTTATGAATGCATCATTATTTTTTTTCTTCCTTCCATCAAATATCTTAGTCTCAAAGGCGGAAATTTAAATGTATTCATAAATTTGCAATTTAAAACCTAAGAAATACTTACATGCTGTTGAACATACTGAGTAATGCTGTAAAAGCAAACCCAATAGCAAACATGGATTTCATCTTAACTAATGAAAGATCTCTGTTGTTGTTCTTAAGCCTCTCCTCTTCACGTTCAATTTTCTTCTTATGCTGTTTGTCCAGAGAGTCTCCATGTGCCTCTTTACGTTTTTCCACTGAAAAAAGATTTCAATTAATTAATAATTGTAATTAGAGGTGGTAATTACTACAATAACAGATAAGAAATTAAATTAAAACAGATATTAAATTCTCAAGCAATTATCATTACTGAACAACTAGCTAACCAGCAGTTATCCTGTTATTCTGTTGTTGTGAAATAGCATGTAAGTAGAGAAATGGTACTAGTCAAATTATATAACAACGCTACAAAGTGCAAATCTTACCATTTATTATTATATCTTACAACATTACTACATAATAATCAATGTTAGTAAAAAAGTTGATGAAACCATAATTGGTTACACAATATTCATTAACTATCATTGTCATCTTCTATTATTGTTTTATGCAAAACTACATAACAACATTATAACAAGATAACCAAAAACAATAATACAGTACCTATTGAAAAGTAGCCACTTTTGCCATCTCTAAGTAATATTTTGGGTGTATACTAAATCTATGAATATTTCCTGCATACTGCTGGGCATGCAAAATGGTATAAAGCCACCATTAACACTTCTACACAGTTATACATTTTATTATACACACAAATTTTGGTTAATGTATATGACTAATTGACAGAAGCACTTACATTTCTTGCTCTGCCTTTCTACTTCTACTTTCAACTTCTGATATTTCTCAGTTCTGTAGACTAATATCCATGTTAAACCTGTAACACAAAAATTCAGTTTTTGATATTACCTACATATCAATTTATGACACAGCATGGTTATAATCCCAATGTCACCGTGAGGGTTGAGCAGTTGGAGTCCGCCACAATGTGACTTTAATTCTCTTGTGATGAGAGTACCAAATGAACATCTGTCAACCTTCATGAAGGAGGAGTTTTGACCAAAGAGTGTCAGTTACCGGACACTGGGGTCTCGTCTCACGTCGCCGACAATACGTGTGAATAATTATGTTTATTTAAGATTATTTTCCTTCATTTTATTATGTATGTTAGTTTTTATGGTATGTACCTATTTATGGGTTTATATAACCTGATTACAAATATATAAATAAACAATAGTTAACTTCACTGGAGCCGTACTTAATTATCGTAACCAATTAAATATGAATTTTCTTACCTTCACCTAAAAACGCGGTACATATCGAAATGAAGACTATCAACAAAGAGTCACTCCACATATTTACACCTATGTTTTTACAATTACTGATATTTAATAGAAATAAAGGCAAAAATAGAAAATCCTACACTCAAATTCAATTAATATAATTTCACTCTTTTTATCTTATACGCGCACGCATGCATTCAGCGGATTTAATTGACAGTTGGCTGGCAGTTTTTTTTTTAAATTTATTAAGGCTTTGGCAAAGCCATCATCCTAAACATGAAGTTTAATTATGTTTCTGTAAATATGGCCGCCACAAAGAGGATAGGCAATTTGAGGCGGCGTGCTTGGATTGACTCGGGGTTTCTTAAAACGGGCCGATAAGTGTATTTTAGTTCGAGATTCGTATAATTTCGCGTTTTAATCTTCGATTAAGGCACAATAGCACTATCCTATTCCACTTTAAACTAGATTTCACAAAATAATTGAAAGTCAAAATAAAAACGACACTTTTCCCTCCAAAAGGTCCAGAGCGAATCTTGGCTGGCTGTCTGACAACCAGCGTTGCCAATGCTAATTATTGAAAATCCCCGAAAATCACGACAAATATCCCCAAATTTGAAAAGACCAAAATCCATATTTCCCACAAAGTCCACACGTTTAATAATGTTTATTCATTGTCAGTATTTATTATATTATAATACTATGGCTATGAGTCCACCGCTTAAAAATGTATCAAACAACTTATTAACTCAAATTGTAACCATCTTAACTTATGCTAAGGTTAAAAATAACGAGTTAAATTTATTTAGACCTTAATGTAATATTTAAACTTGACGAGTGGCAAGTTGTGGTGTAAAAGTATCAACTGCTTGGCTTTGTTTGGCAATAGCTGATTTCATTTTTCTCCATTCAGATGTGAGATCCAAATTGAAGGAAGTGTCGTGCGCTTCACACACTTCACACACACACACACACAGTTTGAAATTCTCCGCAATTTGAGGGATTCCCTACAAATTGGCAACACTGCTGACATTTGGGTTGTCTAACATACAATTTAATGTAATTTATTTATTTTTGATAAATGACGCATTTGAGGCGTTATGATGTGACAACAACACACGATACTGTCAATTACTGGCATTGTTTATATAGTAAAGGTAAAAACTACCAAACTGATATCTTATTTCATAAAATAGCAACACAATACCATTCATTCACAGATCCTTTTATTGATTATGCACTCATTTTGTCACTTCCTCCAAAAACCATCTCTTCATTCATTCTTTCTACTACTCGCTCGCCCGCTGGTCGTGTACTCGTTGCTGCTGGCCTTGGCTTGGATTTGCCAACTCATTGGCTTTTTGTGTAAAAATTGAGCAGAATATTTAATTATATCATAGGAAAAGTAATATATAATTGTTAATGAAGGAGTTGCTCCTACAATAATTTAGCATTTTGATTTGTATTATAATAATTAATTTAGGCAATTATTTAGGATATTATACATCACTTCTGTGATCTCAGACTGTACAACAATTTGTTTTAAATAGTGTATACTGAAAAAGAGAACTGAACACTAGAATTAAGTGAATTATTGTGTAAAAAGCAAGCTGAATAGATACAACGCAATTATGTGTCGCCGCCATGTTGTATCAGGATCCTAGGGCGTGGCGCATGTTGCTGTTTTTGGAGTGAGCACAATTTACTCCAGTTATTACGAAAAATGGTAAGTTGTAAATAAATATCTATCTTCTATCAATTATTTTTGACCTTTACGTAATTACACAAATATGCGTTAAAATAGCAAATGAGGTCACCTTTATTTCCTCAGAAAACGTACATATTTGTTACATGCCTATACCTAGCGCCGTACAAGTACATTTATCTTTATTCTGGAATGCTTTTAGAGCATACATGTACTAGTATTGTTTTGTCAAATAAAAAATCTCGAAAGCGAGGTTTGGAATTGCGCAGTGTGACGTCACGTCCGCCCAATTACCAACCGAGACGCAGTCCACGTTAACTAAAAATAGAGAGTTGGACTTTGGACCCATCCTTGATAATATGTACATACAAAGAGGAAATCTGTTGCACCTCTTAAGTTTAATACGTACGTTGTTAGAATAATGCAATTTTGTGGCCACGGCTCCACAGATAGTTACTACGCACTAGTCGTTCAATCAGGCATTTAGATGGGTACTGCAGTAAAATTGTCAAACCACCAGGCCATGCGACATCTTAACAAAGCTTAATACAGTGGTGCATTTTTAGCCTTGCATACGTGAATCATTAAAAATTGAACCCTAGTCCCTTATAAAAAAAAGTTACATGCAATACAATCGCTATGTTGCACACGTTTTAGTAGGTAGGTGTATAGATGGCACAATTATTGGCTACAATACAGCACTATCGCGTAAGACACATTGCTTATTTGCCTCAACTTGTGCAATGAATAAAACGCATTTACGTGTTTACAGAATGTGTCCTAGATATTTTCTTGATGATTTGCCTCGTTATTCAGTTACCTCCCTAAAGTCTGGAATTAGTTTATTTTTTCTGTCACCAATTTTATGAAATTCATGTTCATACTTAATAAACCTCACCAATAGCAAAGTACACTGCCAAATCATCTATCTGTAAATAACGGCCTTTTCAATCTATATTTCAAAGAGTCTTAGAAGCGGAGAATGAGATCTCGGACGCAAGGTAAACCACTTGCATAAGTGCTAATGTTATTTATCAACTTATATACGCCAAGGCAATGAAAACATTTTTGCTAAATGTCTTCATATTACGACGGCGGCGTACTTAACAAAGCAAGCCCTTTCTAAATTCAATGTTACATCGCCGCCTATCTTTTATTCTCATTAATAACGATCGTATGTGGCAATTGATAAACATAACCACATTGATTCATATAATATATACTTGATATTTCATCCACACATCCAAATCCACACACGTGTACAGCAACGTATGTTTTAGCAAAAATCCAGCACAAGGTCGCATGTAACTCATCAAAATCATTTTTTTTTGTCGATAATCACTATTAATTTATAACATTAATTTCGCTCGTTCAGTGCTCTTCCTGTCAGTAATATGTAGCAAACCTGTTTGTGTTGAAATAGTTTATTAGCCTATATGACGTGTCAATCTTGTGCATTTGTATAAACATTGTTAAAACATCATTTAAAAGGCAAAATAATTGTTTGATTGGCAAGAATGAAAAAATAAAGTAAATAATTAGCACAAAAGCCATTTATGCATTTTTTTCCTAGATAGCAATAGATTCGTAGGTTATGCATCTATTATTTGCCAATAACGATTAATTGTTGATTGTAAATATTAGTCATAATATACCACGCCTCTAACGTTCACGTATTAAAACTTGTTTTAAAATCAATATAAATGTGTCATTGCGTGCATTGTCTCTTTTATGCGCTCTTCTCTTATGTACTCAAGTTTTAAATATTCTTGTTTTTAATGTATCCATTGCTGATTAATCGCAGCACAATTCCATTTTTAACGAAATCTTTGTTGTTACAGCCTCGTATTGATCCAATACAGCTACTCAACTGCCTGAGCGTACTGCTGTCACCTAATGGTGGTATCAAAAGCACTGATGAAGTACAAAGGCTTGCAAGGTAAGATCTCTAAGTGTTATCACACTGCCCGAGCTGCAGCAAATCGGGACGACGCGATCGCCCTATATCGGGACCCTAACTCTTTACACCTCCCTAAGTTTAAGTAAGGGTCCCTTGAAATTGGATAGCGTAATAAACGCTTACCTAAGCTTCACACAAAAGTGTATCTCTTAATTTTAACAATATATATGTATTTTTTTATGAATTTCGTAATACATACGCAATCTTTAATTAATTTGTATCATATGAATTTCACAATACATACCGGTTTCGCAATTAATATTAACGTCAAGTATTTATATTTTCAGTTTGATGACGAAATTCTCGAAAAAGTTGGTGTCGAAATGCATTTATATTCAAATACTGAAGTGTACAGAAACTGAACTACTTGGTTTATTCATGGCCTCAGGAGGGTGGCGTCTTGTACATATGTGGCTGACTGAAAGTATTGTCGCTAAGAACTGGCCTCTTGTGAGGGAGTTGTTAGAACTTCTGCTACTTTGTCCAGTGGACATAGAACGCCTGAAGACCAATAATTGTCCCAAGCTTGTAAAAGAATTGTCTAAAGATGATAACCATTACGGTAAGTTCGGATATACTAAATTAAATTAGGTTAAAAAAATCAGACATTCTTTAGATAAATTAACAGCGAAATTTGTTTAAAAAACTAATATTAATTTTGTTAAAAATTGTGACGGTAAATTTTTAATTATCTGTTTTGTTTTAGCAATTCGAGCGCTAGCTTCTAAACTCGTTGAACAATGGTTAAAAACCGTTAAAGGTGAAAATGTAATCCCAGTTTCTTTAATGGATATTCCGCAAATTATTGCCGACGCTCAAAATGAAGTAGATAGTAGCGCCAGTGCTAAGTCTGAACCAGACTTAAAAAATGAAGAAAAGTGTGAATGTTCCGATAAAAGTATTAAATTAGATGACATCAATGTGAAACAAGAAATGAATGCAGAAAATGTAGATATTGAAAAACTAAAAGAAGAAGTTAAAGATGATAGTGAAAAGGACTCTGACACACTACCGATTCTCAAAATAAGCGTCAAAGACGGGAAACAAATTTTATCTCAAGTGGACGATAAAGAAGAATATTCTGACAAGGAAAAATCAAAAGATAAACAGCGAAATAAAAGCCGAGAGAGTGATAAAAGCAGTAGCAGTTCAAAATCATCTAATTCATCAAAGCATTCAAGCAAGTCCCATTACTCGTCAAGCGATAAACATAAAAGTAGTCATAAAAGTAGCAGCTCCAGCCGTCATAGCAGTAAAGATGGCAAGGATAGGTCGAAAGACAAAGAGAGACATTCTTCTCACTCATCGAAATCTAAAAATGACAGTAGTAAAAAGTCGAGTGAAAAATCCAGTTCTTCAAGTAAAACAAAAGAAGATAAAAATACGAAATCTGATAAAAAAGACAAACTCAAAGATGACAAAAATAGAGATAGTTCCTCTAAGTGTAACGAAAACTCTGAAGAGAAGCCACAGTCTCCGCCTTCTATTCATAAATTGGGCAAAATTCCCAAACTAAGTGATAATAAAAAGGAAAAACCTTCAATATCAATAGAAGTCAGAAAACCTGACGAACCGAAACCAAAAACTGTTAAAACTTTTCATTCAAAATTTAGGAAACATGGCTTGGAAGAAGAAGTCAAACCCCCACCATCTCGTGCCACTTTACTAAACAAAAAGGCTCCTTCTGTATTACCACCCACTTTACCAGCACCAAAAAGGCCATCACCAGTTCATAACGAGACTCCCCCTGAAAAGAAGCCAAAAACGGTTGACCCCGTTGAAAAACCCGGATCTATCAAACTGATTCCCCCTAAACCAAAACGTAAGTATATTTATGGAGTGGCTGAAATTATAATTAATATATTTTTTATTTTTCCAGGTGAGCATTGCTATCCAGATCTGCTAGTCATATTTGTGCCTTCAAGTTTTAATAGTTTAGGTTGCGTTATCGGCAGTGGTAAGTCTAAAATATATAATTTAACGGGTTCCAAACTGTTAACTGTAAAATATTTGATGCAAATAAATGCTGAAATAACAACTTAATCTTTCGTTGAATAATGACCTGATCTGTTCAAAGTTTGGATCGTGGCTATCTGTTGAAAGACTCAATAGCAGCGTGCCTTCATTGGATCTACCCGAAGACTGCCGAGCTGTTGCACCGTCTCGCACCAGGGGCAAATCGACGGTCCATCTAAGGGAGAAAATGTGGACGCGGAAAATAAACGAACTTTGAGATACAGTTAGACAGCAATCGGATTGTTTGTTCACCGAGATAAGGACTCTGCGAATTCAATAAACGCATAGGTCCGTTAACATGGTATAGAATTTGCTGTTTGCGTTAGAGGATTTATTACCGAGATGAATTGGCTTGGGTGTAAAGATATTAAGTAAACCGTCCTTACATATATACCCTAAAAGAAGAGTACTCGTCTCGTATAATTCTGTTATAGGTACATTGTAGGTATTTCCACTAGATTTTGATAACTGAATCTCTGATCTATTTCTTATTTCCACTCTGGATATTTATTTACCGCGTTTAACTGTTATGTATATATTATCAACACCAAATTCATCATTTAAAATCTTGGCGAATGTTACAGACCCTTTAAGACTCAGTGTCCACTACTCTGAAGCTTTTTTTGGCATCAAGGTAAGTTACATACACTGGTTCAACAAGCAATTCTAAAAAGAAATTTGAGGTTTTTTTAATTGAAACATTTTCGCCTGCTATAAAGCCACAGAGTGTAAAATAGAATAAAACCAGCTAGCGCATGTGGCAAGTACGCATATTTACATAATGAGCCATTATGGGGTTCAGCTTAATTGCTGCGCTGCTGTCGGAAAAATGCTCAAATACTCCAAATCATACTCTATATTCACTTTATCACAAACACTCGTGCAAGTTGGACCATTGTGTATGTGTTTACCTTTTTGTACAAATGCTAGGACACAATTTAGGGAGATTTGGGGGAAAAAGCTCTATGAAATCTGAAAAATAATTAATTACATGCTTTAACATAACTAGTTAACGAAATGGCATAGACCAATTGATTTTTTCCTATCTAATACTCTTTAATTTTTGTCTCGCCTTACACTTATAAAATCGATAAAATATGTACATATTGGTATGGAAAAACCTCTCTGAACCGAACTAAGTTTATTATTGTCGTCTTTATTGACTGTAAAGCCTTGGTATGCTTCGAAGCAGTTTTCATATTTGCCATCTATTCCACTAAGTTCAACTATTAAGTTCGATCAGTTTAATAGCATAAGAATATTACAATTAGTTCAACTAACGTCATTATATTGAATAAATTGCCTTCGTTTAGAGAAATTCTATTCTAAAATAGAAATTAACGAGTCTACTGCAGTGACAAAAATGTGTCTGTTTGATGCTGTAAAACAGCTTGATAAGCTGATCTTGTGTGCACACGTAGTTTATTATTACCCTTAGTGCATACTTACTTAATTCTACTAGAGTCCGTTTAAAACTAGGTACACGGTGCTAGCTACAACTGCCTGTATATTTTCACGTGTCAGGCCGAGTCGTAAAACATGCGTAACGGTTCTGGTGGGACCGTGGTCTTAACTATTCTGCGAGCAACTCCGTTTGTGCGTTCACTCTCGATATTATCTCTCCGAAAAAAAAAAGAGACTGAAATTCTAAATCTATCCCTTTACCACTAGTGGTTTATTTTTTTTTGTCGACCTATGCAAAGTTAAACTTTCTATTTACTGTTTTTTACACTATGCCACGTGATGCTGTTGCATTGGGTGCTCAAAATAATGTCCAAAGTAAATTTCAGCTAGAAAATAAGGGAATTTTAGTACATACATGCAAACTTATATTTCCAGTAGGTAAAAATTTAACTGCTAGGACCAGAGGCGACAGGTAGACCAATATGTACATAATACAATAACAGCGAATTGTCTGTAAATATAATTGTGTTAGCTACGATAACTACCGAAATGAATATCGTGACACGTATAGGCGTATCAACTGCAGATAAAAATATTAGGACTAATAGAACATTTACGAAGCTTATGAAATATTTATGACAACAATTTTTCAAGAAGCATGTTAAACGTGTTTACGTTAGGGACTGAAATTTATGCTGATGCACAGTATTTGTCATATTCCGAACTTTACTTAATATCCATAGAAATCATTTATTTAGTAAATGACTTCTGTTTTACTCAATATCCCTCTCGTAGACCCTGGAAAATACTATATAATATAATACAATACTAAAATAATATTTTTATGGTCTCAAAAGACAAGTTATGGAATTTATTTAAAAAACCAAAAGTAACCTACAAATATTTTTTAACGATTTTATTCAGCTTGACATCGGCTATTTGATTTATTTTATTAATATTCAAACAATATTTCTTAAATTCTAAAAGTAATATTTCGAATAGCATCATCATTCGTCTGCATTTAATTTATTGCTTGGCATTGAAGACCATTAAAATCGTTTAAAAATAATAAACTTACTAGATAGTTTTTTAAATTTATTTAAATACATCAGTTAAAGATATTGAGTAAAATTTACCCATGGTTCCTTCCAGAGTCTACAATATTCTTCGAGGGTGTAAAAAGTTTATCAATTATTGCATGTAGTGCGAGTACATAAACCTTGGATTACCTACTTTGTGATGAGGGACTGTCATGAATTTCCAGTTGTGATTTTTTGGGCCGAACCTTCTTATATTTGAACGAAATTTGAATGCTATTTATGAAACGCAAGGTATAATTTTATCAACAAATCACCATGTGATACGCACGCTTGACGTGCCGGTGACTGTACTATGAACAAAAGTGCAAATGAATATTAATTTATTGGCATAATAACTACCGTAAACTATGTATTATTTTGATGCCAATAAAGAATATTCTTAACTTCGTAGATCATCGTTAAATCGCACCTTGATGTAATTTTATCTACTTGCTTAATTAACTACTGTTGTTTTAAGTTCCTTTTGTAGCGATGGCATTGCTGTTCTCGTAGATACTAAGTTAGATAATAAAATTACCTACCGTATCTACAGGTATACCTCAGATAATTTCTCAAACAACTTGGCAAAATAAATGAAAAATTTTAATGCACTAAAGTTTTTTGGTAGTTTATTTCTGATTAACCACGTACATTTACGCCGATCAAAAATTTTTATTATCGTGTACTAGTTGTTTATCTTGCATGAGTACGATGGCCAGCTTAAATATTGCCATTTTGTTACAACTATGTGTGGGAACATTCTTATTGAACGCTATGTGTCTCTTAAAACTGTCTCCCGTATAAGCCGTAATTTGAATCTTAGGACTATTGTTGCTCTAAATTTACCAATTGTCTTGTAAACCTAAACAGCACGTGTCGTAGTACTTTTATTTTAAATAATATGAAATCTTTTGCAACAAAGTAAAGTGCGCCGGGGAGTCTTGGCGTAACTGTAAAAAGCTTTACGTGCTGCTGACTGTCCTCGGGCAACGTAAAGCATTTTTGTAAGTGACAGCGCTTTATAGAAGGACTTAATTCGAAAAAGTTTTGAAAATTTTTATCTTTTCTATTTTAATGGGCTCTTAAATACAAAGCGAGTTAAAGTATTGTTTATTAGATTCGCGGGTCTCTAGAAATAAAAGAATGCCTATTGGTGAGAAGAGAGGTTTTATAATGTACTTTACACTAAACTAAGACAGTTGAACACGTTTTATTCACTGAAAATATAAATGGAAATTGCTCATAATTATCCCTTTTTACTTAGATTGATTACAAATCCAAATACAAGTATACATAACGCATGTTGTATTTCACACAAATTGATACGTAGTTAGGTATGTTGTCACGCTTGTGTTTTGACCGTATGTTTTATCGTGTAATTAAAGGGTTAACCCGAGAAAATGTCAAACCTTTCGCCCTTTCGACGGATGCATAATTACAGTATTAGTATCCTTTCTTTACCGTAGTAGCATTAGACTGTTCCATTGATGTTACAGAGGCATTTTTTTAATGTCGTATATACAGTTCGATTACCAAGACGTAGTCCTACGTGTGTTGCGATTTCTATTCTAAGTATATCCCATTTTACCTACCTCAGCTTAAATTGTTTGTTTATATTAAAGAGGTACAAGAGACGCATCAAGCTTGACATTGGACCATTCTTATTGTAAGCGGTGTATGAACACCTAAACCAGGACAAATTTAGATAAATACGTTTCCAAATTGGTCCTACGCGGAATCGAACCCGGCATCTCCATATCGTGCTCACCGTTTGACCACAGAGGTCATCAAATTTCGGTAAATGTTATAAGAGTTAAATTTAAATCTTGTCAAGTTTGACGTGCTCATAAACTAAGTGATAATAACATTTAAGTATTTGGCATATTAGTTATTTACTAATAATATTTTCAACACGAAATTCACCTTTCATTTGAAGTCGTACAGTGTAAGCATTTATTTTACTACGTACAAAACAATATTTCAAAAGATGCCAACGAATTCAAGTTTAGGTAGTTTAGAATTAAGTAGGTACATATATGGTCGTATATTGTCCAGTCTGGTTATAATAAATAAATTGACGTTATTTACCATAGCATGTGGGAACAACGTTTTTACTGAAGTAAGTGTAGAACTAGACTAGTAATATTCCTTCCCTCACGCGACGACTTTCGTTTTTTTTACTCCTATAATACTTAGCAAATTAGATTATCGAGTTTTTAGGTTTTCGCGATTGTTACACATAGGAAATGAAACTATTTTTCCGGATTTAAATCGCGTATATTTGTTTTTTCAAACAAACCGACGTTTCGGACCCTTTACAGGTCCCATGGTCACGGTTGACTGAGGTGGTACAGTCTTCAACCAGTTATGTCTAATATTGATGCAAACCACCCAATTAATGCATCAATATTAGACATAACTGGTTGAAGACTACCACCTCAGTCAACCTCACGGTTGATCATAGGACCTGTAAAGGGCCCGAAACGTCGGTTTGTTTGAAAAAACAAATATACGCGATTTAAATCTGGAAAAATAGTTTCATTTCCTAAATTAGATTATCATTTTAACTTACACCACTACTACCGCCGTTACAACAATCAGTGGTATCTTCTTATTTACCGTTACAGATCTAATCAAGCTTAGAAGCATTATTTTTAAGACGTTATCAAATATACACCATATTTAAACAGTGGTATGGATATATCATACGGTACCTATGTTGCATGTTCTTATTTGTAGGGGTTGCATGTTCTTATATATTTCACCACTTTTATATACGCACCTTGACAAATATTTTATACTTATAAAATGGTTTTGTTGTTTGACTCTATAGATTGTTAGGTTAGATATAACATGTACAGGTTTGATTTTGGTTGCGATAATATTATTAAAAGTATTCTAATAAAAAAAATACGTGTAAATAACTTCTAAGCTATTTTATTACATTTAAATCAGGAAAAATAGTCTCATTTCCTATGTGTAACAATCGCGAAAACCTAAAAACTCGATACTTTCTTACCGATTTAGGAATAGTTTTATTATAATTCCATTACAAAATATACCAAGGTTCGATCGAAATATTTTAATGTTTCGCTTTAGTATATTTTCATATAGATATGTAACAGTTTAATCGTTAAGTTTTAGATATTATTTAAAGAAAGTGAGAAACATTAGACAAGTTTTTAGAAATAAATCAGCGTAAAATTTACTTCTCATATATTTACTAGTACAGTTTGCAGATCAGGAAAATCTAAAAGAAACTTAACTCCAGTACTGTTTGAACAGTGTGCAATTACCTATAGACTATAAGGAAGTGCCCGTAGACCCGTGTCTTTCTGGGTCAAGTTCGTTATTACGTCATGCCTACGCTCTAGACTGTCTACGCAACACTGAGGCTTCATTTCCCTGTCCTAAACTTCGTGATCGACATAATTTTTCTTATTTGCATATATTTGTTTTTGGAACCCGAAATTATATTATTTTAGACTTATTTTTACTTATGGTTTACATGATTAAGGATTTTTTGTGTAAAGAAGTTTGTTGTAACTACATAATTACCTAATCTGTGTCCTTATTGTTACAGCTATGTTGTTGCTCGAAAGCGACATGTTCATGGACGCGTTGAACGCCTCTGCCACTAACAAGAAAGAACCTAAGAAGCGGAAGAGGCGCACGAGCGGCTCAAGAGATGCACCCAGTGACGGCTCGCCTCCGCATACACCCACACCGACGGTCACAAGTCCAAGCACAGAGAACAAATCTGTTCCGCCTCGATTTTATCAAGACACTCTTGACAATGATGAGAATAAAGGAAAAGTAGGCGATGAAAATTCTGACGCTGCAAATGAAGCTGACAAAAAAGAGGAAGACATGGACACCTCTGAACCACACACTTTGACCATTAATGGATTGAAGGGTGTTCTTTGCTATCATAAGAGAAAAGGTCCTAAGAAAAGTATTAAGTGGAAGCCCGATTCTGAACTAGAAGAAGTTCAGTACTTTGAACTGGACGAAACTGAGAGGGTAAACGTAACTAAAACATTTACAGATATGAAATATTTGGAAAGAATCAATGAAAGAGAAGCATTCCAGAAAGCAAGAAATCTTAGTACTGACGATGTCATGGAAGAAAAAACTAACTGGAGACCACTGATACCTGTAGATACTGAAGGCCAAATTCAAGTGGATCACGGAAAAAATAGTAAAGAAAAGGACATACAAGCTCTTCGACAAAAAGGTACACTGCAGCCTTTATACTTTCACAAGTCAATGATTCCAGACTCTCCACATGAACCGGATCCAGAGACTCATACCTATACCGAACCAACGATTATTCCCTTAGAAGATGTAACTGGAAATCAAGACAATGTTAGCGATTTTCGTAACATTGCGTGGCCTGAACCAAAAGGGAACGCGCCTCCATCTTCGAGCAACGTCAGCATGCCGTCGATGTTTCCGCCGAATATCACTCAGTTTCCAGGTACTTTTCCTCCTGCGCAGTTTCCAGGTATGCCCAGTTTTCAAGGACCTAATATGGTACCTGGCGAATGGCAAAACGGGTTGCCTCCTATGATACCGAATGGAATGCCAGGTCCTATACCCCCAACAGCCCTAGCACCAGGTGGGATGCCGCCAATGATGGTGCCACCTGAAAACATGATGATGAATCCAGAAATGTTTGGAGCTCCTAATCCTATGTTCCCTGTGGGACCGGATGGATTTAATATGCAGCAAAATATGTTTCCTATGGATTTCAATATGTCTGGGCCACAAGGTCCACCTGGGCCTGATGGTTTCGCCGGCCCCGGCAATTTCCGCGGCGCGATGAGAGGACGAGGTGGCGGCGGTGGTCACTGGCGAGGCAAAAGCTCTGGCAACTGGGACGGCCCGCCTAGAGGCAGGGGTGGTGGGCACAATCGAGGTGGCAGAAAAGCAGTTTGTATATATTTCCAAAGAAAAGGTTCCTGTCGACAGGGTGACAATTGCTCGTTCTTACATCCAGGGGTGAACTGTCCCTATTAAAAGGAGGCAAAAGACTCAAAAGCTGCAATTGTTAATTTGCATCGTTTCAGCTGCATTAATTAACAAATACAGCATGTATAAAGTTGTTAATACCTTTTTGTTATTATTATTAATTAGATTTAATACTCAAGAGAAGACTGCAATGTGTAAATAATTTGTAAATAGCTATCTTTGTCATTATTTTGTTAGTTAATAGAACGTACAATAGACATGTTTATATAGCGAAGTGTTTTTTTATTAAGGTGCAAATAAAAGATTTTAAATATTTATTTAATTTTTCCTTTTCTTCTATTGAATTACAAGTTTAGTCATGTTGTACACCATAAAAAATCCGTTTAAATCACACGTAACGAGGTGAAATGACGTAGATCAAAGATTTAAAATTTTAGTCGTTTATTAGGTCGGTACTTACTTGACGTTATATTTCATTTTATTAATTATATGTAAACAAAAAACTATCGTCGCGTCTTACACATAATGCTAAATTCTTAAACCTCGTAACCTCCATTAATGTGAACTTTTGAGTTAGCACAAAAGAAATAATTATGTGACAATCTATGATGTGTACAAATTATATATTAAGCTTTGTCTGATACTGCGCTTAAAGAGTAAAAAGGGATTTCGTCCAAAAACGGAACTTCGAGGTTTTTTCAAATTTGACGGATTTAGGGTCGTATTCTAGAACTCTACTCAATGCTCAAGTCAGGACTTGAGTATGATTCAAAGCACTAGAAATCATACTCAAGTCCTTGCCATTAGAGTCGTATTTCCAATGCTTGAAATCATACTCAAGTCTGCTCAAATCCTGACTTGAGCATTGATTTCTGGAGTACTATCCTACGTTTCCATAGTCTAATGATTTAGCCGACGATATAATAGAACATCTTCAACATCAATATTTAATCGCACGGCACTCACACAATACAATGAAAATATAAAAAAAATTAAAGTAATTAGTCTGTATTTGCTCATATTTTTTGAGGGAGAAAATAAACAAAAGCAAATAATTAAATAAATGGCTTGTATTTGCTAATGTTTTCTGTGAGCGAAAATAAAAAAAAGCAATTAATTGCAATGTTTCAGCGCGACCATGTTCTACTTAACACTGGACTAATCCAGATCATGAATTCTATTAATCTAGCTGTGATATGTTTCGCTTGCACAAAAAACTGTTTGTAGTTGGGACGCCATCGCGTATTAAATTAAATTGAATAATGCTATACTTCGAACATATACATTCAGGTACTGGTCTATATGACCCTTATAAATAATAAGATAGAAGCTACTTAATTGGTAAGTGTTAATCCTTCGCTGTTCAGCAAAAAAATGGTAACCGCTAAAAATGATATTTTTTTAAATAATGAAAGTGTATATTTGCAACTTACACTTTTCAATGAACTAGCTATTATAGCAGAGAACAAATAAGTAGTAATTATAGTATAGACAACATCCTTCTGACATATTTATAAATAATAAGGTGCAGGTGTACATACGTTTCAGCAAACTGTAAATAATAATAAAAGTATTCGAGTCTTTCAAACTTGGATTCAATCTATAGTAGAATTTTGAAGTGATAATGAAAACATTTTCCATAGTTGCCAATGACAGAATTAAAAAAGAACGAATGGTTTATTTTATTAATGTGGTAGATGTGTTTCCGTCTTTCGATATTTTACTAGTGATGTGACTCTGAATATTATGTAAGTTATGAACAAGTAACAATAATTCGAGTTTGATCTATTTGAAAAGTATTTTGTGTTATAAATACGTAATACAATTTTTATTATAGCTAATTAAAGTATTGTTGTGTTGTACTAACATCTACTCTGAGCTATTTAATTATATATTATAGTAATTATATAGTATATTTTCTTGGAAATCTCAATGGGACCAAACTATAATTTTTCAACCACCACTGTTTCGGGTTCTTTATGGGACTGTATGTATGAGTTTTATTTACTACTACTAAATTATGGAACTATTGGCTGGCGATGGCGATTTTGCTTGTTATTGCCTACGAGTACTTATATATGTTAGGATACATATTTTTCCCGAGTATTTTGTACATACATTTGTTAAGTGAGTCAAGAGACGAGGTAGAGCGTTCTAAGGTTCGTATTCTATAACTGTACTCAATGCTCAAGTTAGGACTTGAGTATGATTCAAAGCACTAGAAATCATACTCAAGTCCTTGCCATTAGGGTTGTATTTCCAGTGCCTGAAATCATACTCAAGTCTGCTCAAATCCTGACTTGAGCATTCAGTACAGTTCTGGAATACGACCCTAATAGTCCTCACACCGTTGAATATCCACGTGTTTTTACAATTGAGACAAATGCAACGAAAAATCTCAATAACAAATGCGGTGCTATGCTAATGAGGAAACTGAAGAAATGCTTACCTCTTTCGGAATCGGTCGAACTTATCCCCTTGAGGGTTATAAAACTAATACGCTCATGAAACCAAGTATTGTCGTAACATTGTGAAATTGAAAAAACATAATTTGAAAATTAAGAAAAATACTGAATGGATCTTATTGCGGATATTGTGATTATTTTTATTTGTACATAATACTTAACTATCCATTAATATTACAGTTTATATATGCAGCATAGTATATTGTGTATAATATAGTGTGTATATATATATATTAAAGTCATATTAAAGGACCCAAATGTACACTTGATTTAGACCCTGTGTGCAAAATATCAAATAAAAATAAGTGACTTTTGATGTTGATATAAGTTTAATAATGTTTGTACAAATAGTGATTGTCCGAAACAACCACTGCGTCACAACTCTATTGCTAGTTACGTTACTACGACTTCACAAATTCATTCATGAAACCTGCGTGGCCGCAAACGGGGCGAAAGAACAGCTGACTACAATTGAAATGCCATTGTTAAAACATGATTTGAATATGATGATAATACGTTAATATTAAGTAACAAAATCTTTAAATACCTAGAAAAATCGAATTATTTCTAACAATATTATTTTATGCCATACCTAGGTACGCGTACGTACTTATTTACATACAATTTAAAGAATATTTATTTACTTATTAAGCCCGTAGTTACGCACGCCTTCATCGTATACATATTCTACATAATTTAGTATTAATACATTTATTTACGACAATTTTACAATAGTGGATACTTTTTTAATTGGTACTTACCTACTGTTCAATTCATACACGTTTTAATGCATTTCCTACGAATTGTAATTCACTGTTGTACAATGTACGAAATATTGACTTGTTTACGATAATTTTGAATAATAAGTACAATCACTGCACGCACTGCTGGCACATTTCACACATTTACAGGTAAGGTTCAAAATGCCGACCTCCATGCAATATGCATATTTCCGTGTGTCGGTACAGAGACAGCTCTACTCTTTGAAGCATCTGTCGAGTGATTTGACTAAACGCCATTTCGATCCGCTGCCTCATTTCTTCTGCGCTTTCACAGGACTCCGCATAAACAATATTTTTTATACGACCCCATAAAAACAAATCGAGCGGTGTCAAGTCTGGGGACCGCGCTGGCCAGGGTACAGAACCTCCCCGCCCAATCCACCGCGGGAAACGGTCGTTCAGATGGGAACGTACATTTCGAGCAAAATGTGCGGGTGCTCCATCGTGCTGGAAAGTCATCCTGTGTTCCATCACGAGTCTCACGTATTGTGTCACTGGCAGGGCCATCAGAACGCCATCCAAGTCTTCTGTTAGGAATCTTAAATAATTGGCCCCATTCAAACTTGCCGGCAAAAACACTGGACCGATGACGGCACAACCTATTATACCAGCCCACACGTTAATCCGCCACTGGTGTTGAAAATTTGATTCCTTTGATACGCGGGGATTCAAATGAGTCCAAAAATGTTCATAATGCATATTGATAATGCTCGCACGCGTAAATGACTCCTCGTCTGTCCACAGTACTGACGAAGCGAAGTCGGGAGACCTCCCAACCTGGTCGCGGTACCAGCGGTAAAATGCCAAGCGTGGATCATAGTCCGCTTGTAACAGCTCCTGCGTTCTTTGAAAATGGTAGGTATGGGTGCTGGCCATCATCCCGTAGCACACTCATATGGTTCACACCATGAAAGGCTGACGCAGCACGACGAGTACTTGTCTTTGGATTGCCGAGAAAATGTTCCAAAACATCTGCCTCGAATTCTGGGTCTCGTGAACTCGGCCGGCCTTCAGAACTGGAACCACGGAACGATGCACTATTATGAAGTCTCATAACCATCTTCCTGAAGCATTCCAGAATAGGAAATGGTCGACGTCGATTTTCTGGGACGCCGTCAATAAACTTCGCCCAATAAATTTGGCGAGGCTGGCGCAAGCTCCCATCTGCTGCGCCTACGCACAACATCATCTCATAGTAATCACTATTGCTTAAGCGTGACATAGTTTAAATAAACACAAAATCGAGACACAAACAAAACGATGACACCTATTTAGTCCTCACAACGCAAAGGGCAATTACAGACTTACAAAAAATAAAAAAATAGTGCCTCTGCCTCAGCGGACGCCGACTGAAACGCAAATTTTGGAAATTAGGGTAACGTTTTCGTAATGTACCTACAGGGTGAAATTAAAATTATTACCATCCTTTTAAAATAAGACCCTTCTCATGATACAAATTACATCATTACATACACATTAAACGAATACCTATATCCTACATATCTACGATCTTCAACGTTGCACTGCATACGCCTTTGTTTGTAAACATAGCTCTGACCATCACCCGTACCACTTCCACACAACGCAAGAGCTGACTGGGTGATTACGGATATACTGCACTAAGGAGGCAGTCACCCATCGTAAACCCACGACGTCCGAAACGAAAGCCTAACACACTAACTACTACACCATGGAGGCAGTCGACTATAGGAATCAAATCCACGACCTCCGAAACGAAAGCCTAACATTCTAACCACTACACCATGGAGGCAGTTGACTATAGGAATCAAATCCACGACCTCCGAAAACAAAGCCTAACACTAACCACTACACCAAGGAGGCAGTCGACTATGGGAATCAAATCCACGACCTCCGAAACGAGTCTAACATTAACCACTACTCCACATCACGATGTAGGTGATATTTTTGCCGCTAAAGTTGCCGCCAAAGGCTTGCGACTTCGCTACGATTACGTATCGCGTACGCAAGGCGACTAATCTTGATACTTTGTTTATTTAGGTAAGATTTTTTTATGGTTTTACACTATTGCTAATTTAAACTATTCTAAAATATTTCTTTAGATGAGTAGATATTATTAGGAAGTAAGAACCTTAATAGGTTCAACGGATGTTAATTATTTCAGTTTCACCATGTAATAAACCCATACACAGAAAGTTGTCGTGTGTAGATAAGTCAAATTAAGCGTAAACCTGTTGTTAGAAACGTGTGCTCAGCAATAGACGTATGTAAGTTAGTAAAGTGCTATTTTTTGCACAAGGTTTAGTCCACTACACTTGCATAGTAAGTACTGGTTGGAGACTTGACATTCTCGCATCTTTGAAGATTTCGACGATTATCTCCGAAATCCAAGTTTTCTCACAATATTTTCATTTCCAAGCAAGTGATGAAAATTACAATAATTAATTCGTGGTCAACGATCAAAATTAATTTCTTGACGTTTGCCGACCTTCAGGTTGCATCTTTACGATGAAAGTATCCCAATACAAAATTTCAACTTTTTGGGAATACGCAAAATAAGATTTTTAAATTGCGACATTTTCATATTATTTTATTTATTACTCTTGAAGTACTAAAGGTGATGGCCGTATTAGTCTTTGAAAATAATGAGGAAAAATAGAACTTTACAACTGAAAATAGTTTCTGATCATTTTAATGTTCAACAATTTAAAAACATAATTTACAAAAACTAGTCGCCAGTAGGTCTTTTTTGAACGATTTTTTTTGTTATTATTTAACGTATTAAGAATTAAGTCTTTTTAATGTTCATCAGCTAAGCAAGATGTCACAATCCTTGACATTGTTTTGTGGTCCCTGTTTCACAATTAAAAAAGAAGAAAGTCCACGAAACAAAAAAGTAAGTCCCTTTAAAAAGTAAGTTACTAAAAACAATATTTTTTTTTTAAATTTTAAGCGACGGGTCGAACAAGTCGTGTACCCGGTGGAAAGCGTCACGCCTGTCCATAACAGTAGCACTGCCGCTCGAAGGCTACTGCTACGGCGTCCATCTCTCTGAGATATAGTTGACAAGTCCCATGTGCCTGTAATTTAACCAGCACCCTTACCCTTCAAAACTGTAACACGGTAAAGTGGCAGTACTACCCTGGACGAACTCACAAGGAGCTCTACTGGTACTAGTGATTTTTTAATATGATTTTCGGAACGAAAATGGCTCAAATGCTAATTCGTCAGTGGCAGCGTGTTGTCTTTGCAAATGCAGATTCAACAATAAATGCGGCGTTAATATTTCGACACGGGAGTAGAATTTTTAAACTGAAAGAACAAAATGAAAGGGACCTTTATGAATCAGTGCTATTCGAGCTTTAATTGCACAATTTCATCTTCACCACAGTGTGACTTAAAGAGACTTTCATTCATTACAATACAAGAGATGAATGCGTATTATTACATATGATATGGTAAAAAGAAACAGAGATAACTTTAAATATATGTTTTTTAGAGGACATTAGTTTTATTAATGGATATTAAATGGAAATTTGTGTATTTTGTATGTTTGAAGACATGAAGTTAACGAAACCATATTACGTTATTATGTACTAAGTTTTAAATAATAGTTTTATTATGAAGTAGTGTATTTTGGCAAAGTAATTGATAATATTTATTTTTCATTAAATGTTCACACGCATATTACATGAATAAAATAATAATAAATTTAGTAAATTATAACATAGTAATAAGAATATGGCATTAAGTACTTTATCATTTACAATAACATGCCTGAATTTCACAATTTTTTCAAGTTACGTAATTTGGTTGTATTATGATACTCAAGCGATGTTGAAATTGCGACGGTTATGCGGGATCTTGGGCCTTACTCTCGATGTGATTTTGGACGGACGGACTTTTAATTTGACTCTTAATCCGTCGAGACAAGGTGTGAAATTAAAATTTTCGGACAAACGAAACATATCGAGAGTAGGCCTTCGTATATGGTATCGCTTTTCGGTCGCTACGAATTGTGATTTCGGAATGAAAGTAGTCTTTACTACATTAACTCAGAATAGAAATGGGCTGTGACTATTTATTTTCATTAAATGACATCAGCTGATCGCAACTTTCAAGGCGAAATTTCCATAAATAACGTAGTGTGTACTAAAACAGCTTTGCTAACTAGTTTCATACCATTAACTGAATCCGACCTTCGAATATGACCACACCTTTCTGTTACACCCTGTATATATACATATTGTGTATTTGTGTGTGTGTGTATATATATACTATATACACACATAATTTTTTAAGAGATTTGTAAAACATGTTTTTTCAATTCCACAGTTTCTAAGCATAATTTTGAGTTACGACAGTATTTAGTTTCGTGTGCGAATAATTACTTCTATTATGTCTCACATTATATTTCATGTGTGTCACACTGATAATGACTCGATCTACTGCCACTGCTACGAACTCAAGGCGCGCTCTAAACAATACGTAACGTGTTAGATACTGAAATCGAAAAAAATGGCAGGAATTTGAAGTAAAAGCACGATAAAGATAAAAAATTTTCAATTAATATTATGACAATATGGAAAAGTTTCTGGAAGAAGGATCAAGAAGGAAAATGGTATGGAAACATACAAGGCGAAATATTTACTAAGACGTGCTCAACATTCAACGTCTTTTATTAGCAAGTGAACTAAGAGATTTAAGTGAAAGTGAAAACATGAATAAAGACTCCCGCCGCCTAAAAGGCTATTTAAAAACCCATAGTTCTTTTTGCCATTCTCATCATTCAGCCATACGACGCCCACTGCTGGGCATAGGCCTCCCCCAACGATCTCCACGACGATCGGTCCTGCGCTGCCCGCATCCATCGGCTTCCCGCGACCTCCACCAGATCGTCGGTCCACCTGGTGGGGGGCCTACCCACTGAGCGTCGTCCGGTGCGCGGTCGCCATTGAAGAACCTTTCCGCCCCAACGGCCATCGGTTCTCCTAGCTATGTGCCCCGCCCACTGCCACTTCAGCTGAGCAATTCTTCGAGCTATGTCGGTTACCTTAGTTCTCCTACGGATTTCCTCATTTCTGATTCTATCACGCAGGGAAATACCGAGCATCGCTCTCTCCATTGCCCGCTGAGTGACCTTGAGCCTTCTTATGAGGCCTATAGTGAGGGACCACGTTTCTGATCCATATGTGATCACTGGCAACACACACTGGTCAAAGACTTTCGTCTTGAGACATTGAGGTAATTTGGACGCAAAGATTTTTTGGAGTTTCCCGAACGCTGCCCATCCGAGCTGGATTCGACGAGAGATCTCTTTCTCAAAGTTGGACTTACCTAACTGGACTGTCTGCCCCAGGTATACGTAATGGTCAACAACTTCGAGTGTAATGCTCCCAATTTTTACTGGAGCGGGTACAACATGGACATTCGACTTGATCTTCGTCTTGTCCATGTTCATCTTAAGACCCACTCTTTGGAAAACACTACTGAGATCTTCGAGCATTGTGTTCAGGTCTCCCAAGGTCTCAGCCATAAGAACTATATCATCGGCAAATCGAAGGTGTGTTAGGTACTCGCCATTGATGTTGATGCCAAGTCCTTTCCAGTCCAGAAGCTTGAAAATATCCTCCAACGCAGCAGTGAACATCTTTGGAGATATCACATCTCCCTGTCTCACGCCTCGTTGCAGTTGGATAGGATTAGAGCTCTGATCCTGTAATCGGACTGACATAGTGGCATTTTTGTATAAGTACCTTAACACCTCTTTATACCTATAGTCTATTTGGCACCTTTGGAGAGACTGCAGCACCGCCCAGGTCTCGATCGAATCAAAGGCCTTCTCATAGTCCACAAACGCTAAGCAAAGTGGCCGGTTATACTCCTCGGTCTTCTGTATAACCTGCCGCAGCGTATGGATGTGGTCTATGGTACTAAAACCCTTTCGGAAACCGGCTTGTTCGGGAGGTTGGAAGTCGTCAAACCTGCGAGCGAGACGATTCGTGATAACTCTCGAAAACAACTTATAGATATGGCTCAGAAGCGAGATTGGCCGATAGTTCTTCAAGAGTGTTTTATCACCCTTTTTGAAGAATAGAACGACCTCGCCTCTGCCCCATTTGCCATTCTATAAGTAACTAAAAACACAATAGAAAATATTTATTGAGGATCCCGAACATTGAATGAAGATCAAGCTCAAAAGACTTGTATGCAAGCCAAAAATCGTAACAAAAAAATACGAACTTTTCCAAGGTACGAACTCACAATAAATATAATTTCATTGTAAAAATTGCGGGTTTTAGTAGTTACAGTTTTACATATGTTAAATATTTATTCTACTTACTATAACGTTTTGAGCTTCTTAATTATTTGTCTTTTATTTGTTATCTGTTTAAGCTAATGGCCCTATAGCCAATGCTCAATAAATAAATAATAAAGAAAATCATTCATTCACTTCAGCAAAAATAAATAGTTGATCGCGGTGGTGGTAGGCACTAGTGGCACTATATAGCATATGGCAGTGGTGTAGTGTAGTGTAGTAACTTCCTTTAATTATTTATTTTCATTTATTTTTTCTTTTATTTATTTGTAACAATTGGCTGTAACAGTGCTTGTGACTATAGTGTTCTATGGTGGTAGTACATAGCGATGGACGAGTTTAATTTTTTTAACTCGAGTTACTCGAGTTGACGTGACTGCTAGCTCGAGTTAACTCGACTCGGTGGCTGACATAGCAACTACGAGTCGCGAATAGTACTCGAACCGACGGACGATTCATCAAGTTGGGCACGATCAGCCGGCCGACTGCAATTGAGCGTGCTCCGAAAGTCGCCGAACCAACCGAGTGAGAATGAAATCCGAGGCGCTGTATTAATGAAGTATTCGACTCGGTGGAAACCGAACTGAGCTTGCTCGAGTTCACAAAAAGCAGCTCGAGTTGACACGTGGGAGTAACTCTAGTTAAATAACTCGACCCACCCATCGCTCGCGACTCGAGCGTGCTCCGAAGATCGCCGAACCGAACCGAGTGAAATTTGCGCATTGCTCTGTATGAATGAAGTATTCGGGTTCAGAAAAAAGTAACTCGAATTGACTCGTTCTGAGAGTAACTCGAGTTGATCGAGTTAAATAACTCGACTCGCCCATCGCTAGTAGCACAGTCGTACAGTGTTTTGTGACTTTGACAGGTCACCAACAAGCATAGTTAATTTACGTAAAGTACTTATTAAACAAAGTACTCACTCTGTGTTTCTATCCATCTTGGTCCAGGATGTTATACAGTACATTCTAATTTGTTTTGCGTTTCTCTAGAAATACAGAATGTTAAAAATATGGAATCGCGTGTACATTTAGTTCCAACGTCTCGTCAGTAACAACTGTCGTTAAATTATTATATTAGCCATCTGATAAGCCAATTTGTGACTATGCAACGTTGGTTTTTCTTAGACGATAGAAAAAAACAGAAAATAAAATCTCAAGAAAAAATGACAACGAAGACAGAAGCCAAACCCGATGCAGAATTAGCTTCACAACCATGGTTGTTTACGGTGATTGTGCCAGAATTGGCGACACAAGAACAAGTGTTTATAACAGGAAATACTCCAGAACTTGGCATGTGGGACCACACTCGTGTGGTGTTTCTCGAACAAGAACAGGGCACGGAAAAGTGGTCGAAATCTATCACAATTCCAAATACTTGCGATGTTTATTATCGATACGGCATTTGCACGGTGATTGAAGATAAGTGTAACGTGGTCTTAGTACATCGCTGGGAAACCAGTTTAAAACCAAGAATCCTCAAGCATACTATGCTGCACCCTATCACAGATGTGTTCGGCGACATCGAGTGCAACGGCGTTCTGAAAGTGACGAGAGGCTGGCTCACTGCACAAACACTGCTGCAGTTCAAGTTCATTAACAATCCACTGAAGCTAAAGAGCCGAATGGCTGGCAAAAACATGTATATAAAAGTAACACCAGTAAAGCTGTCTTTTGGTGGGGAAACAGAACCCCATGTTGAGGAATCTTCTCAAAGCATTGACAGTGTAGATTCTGAATTGCCATCAGGAACATCAGTGGAAGTGGCTACATTGGATAATGACACTGCCTTATGTACTTTACATCCTCAGGAACAATTTGGGAGAGAGTACAAGCCCAATGATGTGTTGCTTATAAATGTTACCATACCAGATATGAAAGCTCTTGCCTATTTAATAGATCTATACTCATACAGCAGCCGTGCTGCTTTTGATGACCCACCCTGTCATATAGGCTATACTTATGTGCTGCCTAATATGTTCCAACCATCTGAAGGTTCTCTGGAATTGCCTGTCACTTGTAATGTGAAACATCGCCCACTTGGTACTATAAAAATTCAATATCTGATTGCCCGACCAATGAATCCCAATCTATGTGACTTGGAAGTGTCCTACAGCAAGTACTGGAACCCTACCAGGACGGGTCTGGAAGTTGGACATCGAGGGCTGGGAGCAAGCTTCAAAACAAAGGAGTGAGTATAAAGTCCTGTTTTAAAAAATCCTTATGAAGCATAAAAGGCTCAACAATAATATTCAAATCTTTTGACTGTAAATAATATTTCAAAACAATTATGAACTATATCAAAAATTTTTAGAAATTCAAAATCAAGCAGATTGAAATGCACTTTGATTAAAACAATTTATGAAGGTAGAATTCTAAAAATTCTTGCCATAATCAGTAATAATTTTCAGAGGAAATGCTATTCGTGAAAATACAGTAGCGTCCCTTAAAAAGGCAGCTGCTAGTGGTGCAGACTATCTTGAATTCGATGTTCAGCTAAGCAAAGACATGATACCAGTTATTTATCATGATTACACTGTGTGTATATCTATGAAAAGAAAGAAGGAAGTTGACTTCTCTGAAATGCTAGAATTGCCCGTAAAGGACTTGACCTTGGAACATCTACAGAAGCTGAAGGTATACTTGTCGTAGTTTTAAGGTCAATGTTTTTCATATACCATGCTCAATTTTTGTTCTGGGATGAAACTTCCTTCGAGGATGTCAGTCAGTGCATTATTAGTTTTGTATTATATAATACCTTAATTATATAATACCTTAATTATATAATACCGTAATACCTTTGTATTTGATCTCTTAAATATCAACACAATGCAGGTAAAATTTATACACGCACTGAATGGTGTTGATTATAGGTATAGAAGGATTGTTTTAAATATAGTTGCTAGTAATTTGTATGTAACATACTTATTTATATTATAAATAAGGTTTATGCTTTGATATTTTGGAGGTAATATTCTAAAAAAATCTTTTCTAAATAGAAAGATCATCATTAGTTTTTAGCCCATAGTTAAGATCATGTTTTAAATTAATCCGGGGTCATAATCATAACACTATTCATTACCTTATACTAATGTTAAAAATGTATCACCCTTCATAGGTATACCATTTGCTAGAGAGTCGTAATCATGAAATATTGTTTGACGATGAAGACCTGGAGGAGCACCAACCTTTTCCTACTCTAGAAATCCTGATGTCGTCTATCAACATTCATGTTGGCTTTAATGTGGAGCTCAAGTGGAACATGGAGCTGCATGATGGATCATTTGAACTTAACAATCCCTTTGATATGAATACTTATGTTGATAAGGTGAGGGTCTAAATTTTGTTACATGCTTAATAATGTTAATGATTCTAGTACTAGTATAATGACAACTTTAAAACGACAATAAAATAGATTCAAATTAGATGCTTGTAGATATTTAGACTTGTTCATACAATATCTAGTATGTAAAAGTGATGCGCGTGTGGCGAGACTGTGGCATTGCTGCTGCGCTTCTAATTATTGTATAAAAATTAGTAGTGGCGCGGCTTTCTTTATGCGTCTAATTATTGAAGGCGCTTTTAGGCTCAATTTAAATTGAACTAAATATTTGTAATGAAATTGTACATTGCATAATAAACTTAGTCAATTCTGTTACAAACAAACTGGATACAATACGGTAGCTGTGGTGCTTCCCGAGGCAATGCGAGAATTCTCCGGAAGACGCGTGACCTATTTTTTGGCTCGTATATAGTTTGTATGTTACACAATTGACATAAACTTCATTATGTTATGGTAATAAAAATTCGCTTACATTACGTCTCATGGCAATGAAAAATTGAGCCTATGTGTAGTTAGAACTTATTCAAACTACCTCAAACGTAAATGTAGAATTCTTTTTTTATGAATGTGTCATTAGGAGAACAAAAGAAAGTTAAACACCTAATGTTAATAGTTTCAGTTTGAAGTATTTTTAAGCCAGTTACTAAGTATAATTTTTTTGAAATTAAGAAATTTTTTTAATGCTGCAGGTTTTAGAAGTAGTCCTAAAACACGCAGGACGCCGCCGCATAGTATTTTCATGTTTCAACCCAGATATTTGCACCTTGGTCAGAAACAAGCAGAATAGGTATCCAGTTATGTTTTTGACACAGGTATGTGTGCACTTTTAAATAACTTTATATGCTCGGTCTGTCTGGGGTTTGCTTCATGCGAGAAGGGATTTACTAACGTATAGTCTAAATTAAATAACTTCAAATCTGCTTATGGCCTCTGGAACCTGGCGGAGAACCGTCGTCGTGAGAACCGAGTATCGTCGCATGATGGCGATGTTTTGCAGGCTTTATTACATAGCTAAACCACTTACGACCATTAAGTTATTTGAAGTCTGAACAAAATTATAATTTAACATTAATGAGAATTTTAACATAATACATTCCAGGGTGTCACAAATAAGTACCAGCCTTATAGGGACCCCAGGTGCGCATCAATCGAGGCCGCTGTACAAAGTGCGATTAGTTCTGACATTCTGGGAATTGTCGTCCATACTGAGGACTTGCTGAGAGATCCTACTCAGGTATGTAGATACAATTAAAGGTTGAAACTTTAGATTTTGACAGAAAAGAAAACAATTTCTACTGAAAAGTAACGTCAGATCACATCAAATGTCAAAACAAAGCACCACAATCTTAAGTTCCGGTCGGAGGATAGGGAATAATCCAGCCTCGATGGAATAACCCGATCTTAGGGCGCCTTCAATTTATATTGAAATTCTACGTGACGCGCACTATAAGTTTCCGGAATTAATAAGAAAAAAATACTATAAATGATCAGAAATGAATTTATTGTTTCTCAAAATATTCTCCACTAGCGTTAATGCACTTTTTCATATCAATGAACCAATTTTAAAAACATTTATGGCACTCCTCCGTGACAATCTCTGAAACATTTTTCATATTCTTCGACAGCCTCTTCAAGTGATGAAAATCGTTGACCGCGTAACTGGTTATTAATTTTTAGAAATAAATAAAAGTCACAAAATACCAGAACGGGAATGTACGCGGGATGGCTCATAAGGTCAACGTTGTTCACCTTCAAAAATTCATTTGTCCGTCTTGCCTTGTGAGAACTCTGGCATTATGGTGGTGCAAGATGATACGGCGTTTACAGTTATTTTTACGGAGTTTGTCAATAGCTTCCGGCAAACAAATGGTCGTGTACCAATCACTATTCACGGTACAACGATTCTCCAAAACAACAGTGGGCCTAGCCAAGTGGCATTCGCTCCCATTCTATTCCATTTCTACAATCGTCATCGATTAGACGTGAACGATAATAGATTGGTAGCCAAAGTTACAAGAGCCTGACGATCGCTCATTCTATTCGATAATTCGTTAAAAATCAAAATATAGTCTACGGTTTCGACGGCAAACGTCACTTTGAATTTGACAAGTGGTCGATGTTCGTAACAAAACGCGCGGCATTGAAGTGGAATAAAGTAGTTTTAAACGTGAAAAGTGATTTCAAAGGTATTTTAAAGGTAAGTATCTGCAGAAACATTATATTTAGCTCTTCTGTGATATACTTTTATCACCCATAATTCATGTAAGATAGATATCTTGCAAAGTTTATTGTGATGTTACATTCCAACTTTAGAAGTATTTTCTTCATCTTTTTAGCAATGGAACCGAGGTTGCGAGCTAGTCTGGAGCAATCCTCAGATCTTGTAGAATTTATGGAAAGATACTCAATATAGGAATCATATTTTTTTCATCCAAACTTATTAAAATGCAATTACCACTTGAGACTGATGTAACGTAAACAATGACGTGATATAGTACAACCTAAGCAAAAGAAATTAAGACCGTGTATGTTACAGGCACGGCGACCTCTTGAAGCCCCAGTCGGAAGCTCAAGGTCGCCTGAGAAGTGATCGACTGTGGCGATCTATACGTGGCGGTGTCGAAGTCATCCGATAAATGGCATAAAGTAAGCTAGCCCACCTCTTTGATATCATGAATGGGTTTTATCACTATCATGAACGGCGACATGCTGAGGGTACTGGTGATGGCCCAGACAGCCAACAAATTTTAACTGCTTTGGTACAGAGTGTGGTTACGATTTTAGGGGTGTCAGCAGGAGTAGGTCAAGCTAGTATCCAGGAGTAAATATTAATATACAAGAATACAATATAAATATAATAATGCACACACTCAACATAACCCAGCACTAGGGAAACCCGGTGTCGCGAGTGCCATGGACACACACATAGACAACAACAAATTACACCCAAACTCTCGATAAAAAACAAATGTAGGCCATTAAAATATTTCTCTTGGCCCGGGAATCGAACCTGGGACCTATGCGTGTCAGGCATGGTAACCGTTTGGCCACACAGGCAGTTAAAATTTCATTTAGTCAATGTTAGTACCACATAGATGTTATGTCCCTTCAGCATATTCTGTCACCATAGCATTACCAGTTTATCAGTCTTAGAACAAAACATTTTTAAAAATAAATTTGTTCCTATTCAATTTTAAATCATCCCCTTTCATAACTTCTGCGATCATTACAACACCACATTATAATCTAGAACAAAATCTAAATTCTTTATCGCAAACCCATTTAGATAATATGAATACTTTTTCTTTTTCAGAGACCATCATCGTCAAATGAGGAAGTTCAACTTCAAGCAAATTACTTCTTGACCAATGACATATAGTTAATGTAGTAAAATGTTATGCTTGTGCAGACCCACTTTTAACTTTGTATAATAATATCTACAAGTAGGTAGGTGTAGAACTAAGTACATGGACCTACTGGGAATAAATAGGTGTATGAAGTGGGTAATACATTTATGAGAAACTTAAATTATAATAGGTATTATCACCAAGAGAATACTTATTGTATTTTGTAAAAACAAATTGTATATGGTTTACCATATTATTACTTAAGAAAAATAAATAGTATAATATTGCATGTACAGGGTCAAGAGCACGTCAAGCTTAACACTTAACTCAATGCCGCTTACGGTAACAACGGTCCAAAGTACAAAGTGTCAAGCTTGATGTGCTTTTGACTGTACCTGAACACTTAAAATTAAAAGATTGAAGGTGAATTTGTAAAATAATAACAAAATAGCCTTGAAGATAAGAAATAAATAATATTTACAATAAAAATAATATATTTTTATATTTATAATTATTTTTCATTTTCTACATCACAATCTATTCACTAAAGAATTGGGCATGGCTCTGCCATGCTTTAGCTCATCTTGGCTGCTACTGGTAGATCCTCATCATCATGTTGTGCAGCCATATCACCTGGTGGGGGTAATTTGGCATTCAATGCAATGTTATGCAGCGCACCACATGCAATTACTATTTTACTGGTGACTTGGAGATGTTAATGAAGTGTTCAGTGCTTAAGTAAACATCTTCAATGTAACTTCAGCAAGCCAAAACACCGTTCAATTTAATTCGTGGCCTGGATATGACGCCTGGTGTAATTCTCTTCTGGTGACCCTGATGCAGCATTTAAGATAGGCATCATTAGCCAGGCTCTTTGTGGGTATCCAGAATCACCTAAAACAATTAGGATTGTTTAAATTAACAATTAATCACAGGAGGCAGGCAATTGACAATTTGTTTGTAAAACTTAAAAGTTGTTTTTGTTATAGGTCTAAATGTTTAGACTAACAACAAAAACGTATAGATTATGCAAAAAGTAGTTATATGTTCAATTTTGTTCCTTACCTAATAGCCTGTTTGTTCACCATTTTGATGAAGCCCATGCATATATGGTTCCACTTGGCTGGATGACCATATAAGAGTCATGTGTGGCTCCACCATACTTAGCATCGACATTTAAAATTTTTAAGTTATGATCACAAATCTGTAAAATAGACAAAATTGTTGGTTGATACAGAGATAAATACCTATGCTATTCAAATTTTACGAATTAAACAAAGTAACTATGTAATTAACTTCAGCATGTACCTTGTACAATTTCAGATTTATATTAACCCTTCAACTAAGTGTGCAAAAATCACAGGACAAACAATTTCAATTTTAATACTAAAATTATCTTGTCAACTAATGAAATGTGTAATAGACTAAAAGTTACCATTTGTACATTTAATGAGTGGTATACTTTTATAAAAAAGATGCTCATCTACCATGGACTTCACAATGGTTACATGGGTGCAGTCAATGCACCCTATAACACCAGATAAATGAAATCTTATTTGGAACCTGTACATTCATTAATAAAATTGATAAAAGTGAAATGGTACAAATACGTTATCATTTATGTGTTATTTTACTGAAATGTCACTTACCTCTGGGCTTAACTTGTTGCGTTTGTGGGAACACCCATTTACTTATTACATTTGGATGATTGAGGGCTTCCACAACTTGCCTAATGCAACGACTAGTTGTTCGCTGCAGCAAATGTTGCGAGACACACACGATCCACTGGTAAGAGCCTGTCGCCAAGAAACTCAAGGCACAAAAAACCTAAAAAACAATATTTTTGTTATCATAACCTCTGGTGGTTGGTGCCCATTAATATTACACTTCATATTACAGCGGTAGGCATAATTTCTTTACCTTAACTTCCAGTAGAAATGCTACGGTTCCTCTCAAACAGGTATGGGCCCGTAGGTGGAGACAAGTGCTTGTTTATCCAATCTAAATTGTTCCCGAAACATAAAACCGGCATTTCGCCGATTTGCTCCAAGGACCGCCGAGAAACGTTTCTTTTTTGACGCCTGAGCCACACTTCTTCATTATGAGCAGCCCACAAGAGTCGAAGCGAATGCATTTCAAAGTTATTTATAAAAATTTGCACAAACACAACACAAAACTTCACCAGCTGATTATAAAATCGCCATTTTGTTTCGTTTTCTACAAGGTGTTGGCGATCGCTTCGTTATCGATCGATGGAATAGATAGCGAGCGTAAGCGATTGTCAAAATTGTCACTTTGGCTACGGTTTATATGGGAGTTGTCGAACGAGTTGGACGTTCCGTTTGATGGAATAGAAAGTGATTAACATTGGCTACCAATTTATCGTTCGTTACGCTAAATCACGTGACATTTCGTACGCTTATGTCAATCCCATACATTGTCTTTCTATTCCATTGGCGATATCGCTAACAAAAAGACACGTTGGCTAGGCCCTCTGTAGCCACATCTCCAGATTTATTAAAAAAAGAAGCTATCATCCGCTTAGAGGCACTTTGCACGCGCACCACTTTGGTTGATTTCATCTCATCTCGAAAGACCCATACGCTTGATTGCTGCTTTGTTTTGGTATCATAACTGTAAATCCATGTTTCGTCACCTGTTACTATGTCCCACACCAAATTTGACGCCCCTTCGTTGAATCTGGTAGGCATTGCACCAAGCGACACGATCCGATTTTTGAGCCTCAGTCAAATTGTGTGGGATCCACCGAGAGCTCAGCTTTTTTACACCCAGATGTTTGTGTAGTATTGATTGTATTTGACTCATGCCTAAGGATGCCCGAATCTCATGGTATGTCACATGCCTGTCTGTATTGATCAGACGGCGCACAGCATCGATGTTTTTGTTGTTCACAGCAGTGGACGGGCGATCACCACTGAGATTCACACGACCGCGTTTGAATTCTGCAAATTAGTCGTTTTTAAATTAGGCTATAATTAGTCGTCGTGCACGGTGCTTTATCGGCAAAACCAGTTTGAAACCGAGAGAAGCTCCACTGAGCTGTTAAATTACACTTAAAGTCGTAGAAAATCTTTCTACGAACATTTTCACGAGTTAACTAATTAAGTTTAACTGTATTCTACAGCCAAAGAGTTCCATTTTCAAATGTTGTAATTACTTTTTAAATATTGTTTATGTAAGTGGTCAGTTCCGGAAACTTATAGTGCGCCCTATGTAGAAGCGCTGCAGCGGCAATGTCTAGTCTGAAAATTCGCGCTGCAGCTATGCTTCGAAAATTGTATGAAGGCGCCCGGCGCCCTTTAGGTTCAAAAGTTTTCTGTACAATGACTTTAACTTATTATAAGTTAGTTTCATTGTGTTTATACTCTCTCACTCTGTCATTACAACCCAACACGTAATTGTTATATTCCCTTTACTGATAATAATAAAACGACTAATGTTTAATGTTAAAATTACATGTGTTTTTAGTACGGTGTCGCTAGGAATCAATAATACAGCGAAGAACAGGTGTTATTATTCTATCTATGTCATTATTTGATAACATCATAAATCCAAATTTGATAACATGTTAATGCCTCTATTATAAAGGTACTTGAACTTCAAATGACAGCGTAATGTCGAGGAGCGCGTTGGCGGCCAGTACAGTGTAAATCGCGTGACTATATTTAGCGAGTACAACAAATAACTCGCACGACAAACGGCCAACAAACAACAGATATAATAATGAGCTTGCTTCACTGCACTGCGTCATTCTTTATATCTTTATAACGCATAAAGTACATTACTTAAATATTGCGCCATGCTTTTTGTTGCTATATTAACGTTACGTTAATAGTTGCAAAATGCAATCCACTACGCTAGGTCCGCGCACTTTGGATCGTTCTAATCATAAATGGCATACTAGTTTAAATGTAAACCTGTTGAACAAACATGAACTGCACGAGTAATTATTTGAGATACTAGTTTGTTGTAGAAAAAACTTAGCAAACAAAGAAAGATTTATGTTTATGGCGTCGTAGAATAGCGTAGGCTGGTTTTTCGTTTTTTATTTTTACGAGAAAGGCGGTTTTAGTTTCAATTTAATTGTGTATTTTATTTACCATAATGTTACATAGGATGGAAAGAGACAGAAAGAGAGAGAGAGAGAGAGAGAGAGAAGAGGATTTACTCTTTCGGAATGATTAACGTTGTTGTGTGGTCTTGCTAGAAAACGGTTTTATTAAATATGATTTATTACGTCTCTTAATTGGAAAACAAAAGCATGTCATAAACATTTGAAACAGTTATTTGTTGCAAATTTTATATACCTTTAATTTTTTATTTTATTTTGTAGACCATTTGAAAAAATCCATTTTCATTTTGTTTTATAGATTTTTCAACAACTGGAATGTTTAATAAAAGTACCTTTAAGGTGCCATACTGAATCATAATTTACTATTCGATAATATGTATTATGCTGCAAAGCAGTAGCCATTTTTTTTCTTCTAAAGGTAAAACTAGCGACAGACGCCGGGCTAGTGATCTTCTGTTGGGGCGATGATAACAACGACAAGAAGACTATCAAAAAACTGAAAGCGATGGGACTACATGCTGTGATTTACGACAAATTAGATGAATACACTACAAAGGACGTCAAGGTAAATATAAATTTTTCCACTTCCATAGTATTAATAATTCACTTAAAGGAAGACATAATAAGCCACAATAGCAAAATTTTTTTAATGCATGTTTGTGCACTTGCGCTAATTTAAGTTCCATTTACCTGTCACGCGGATTTTATTTTTTATCGTTTGGATTTATTACTTGCGTTGCTTTATGAGTTCCATTACCTGTGGTTCTTGATAATAAAAATGTCTTATGGAAACCAAAGGTGCAGGCGATTCGCGAATATACTCGCGCGTATAAAACCCGCCTGACAGGAATATCTTGTAAATTCAACAACTGATGTGTAAAACGGTGAACAGGAAAGCGTATTCCTAGTGGAGGCTCGAGAATCGGAGCGGGAGCTCATGCGGCTGACCGCCTTGAACGAGTCCGCGATAAATCTCTCCGGGAGCAGAAGCAGTCTCGCTTCGTCGGCCGCTCTAGAGCAGGCCACTGCCCCTCCGCCGTTCCTCGATCTCGCTGTTCGGCATAAGCTACAGGCCAACCGCTCTACCGTTACCACCCTCGAATCACTTGCCTCTTCCATCGAAGACTTTGACAGAAATTTAAAACGCAATCGCGATATAATTTCGAGGGTCGATAAAGAGTCTCAGGTAAAAGAGCACACGAACAGTTTCAAAGGGCTTTTCTCTTTCGGAGACTGCAAGGACTCTTCCAAGAAGTCGCGCAACAATTAGTACCCACCTAATTTACACTTTCAAATAGCAGATTACTAAATTATTTTGTAAAATATTATTTGCTTTTTATTATTACTATATATTTTGCTACGCGTTATTGCTATTTTACTTCTACCTACAGTATTAATTTTATTTATATTGGAGATCGGAATAGTATATTTTATTTTTATTACACTGCATATTTATCTAAACTTCAAGCTACACATAAAACGGATAATACCTGCATCTAAAATCGTTTAATGGGTAAAAATAAAAGCAGTCAACATTTTCACAAATAAATTACACATTTTTTCTACTAACACTACAGCAGTAAATTAATTGCTAGTTACACACATAGATATAGGAAACACTAATAATATAAAACAAAATACAACACAATAATTCCGGGATTTCAGAGGAAGGTATTGTCCACTTAATGTGCATCATTTCCTTGAAGTCTAGGTAGGAACATATATTATACTGTCTATTCCAATCTCTTATTAGATAGATTGTTGTATAATTGACAACCACCTAGTTACCACCAAGTTACTCTTTAATTTTATTTTGTGTTAAAATTAAACTTTTTAATTATTTTAGTGATCGATTGCAATTTTATTCAAGACGTTATATAATGCAAATCATTGTAATATAAAAAACTTGTAGTGAGGGAGCGTGGGGGAATGGGAGCCCACTAAGGAAAATTGATAATAAAATTCATAATTTGTAAAATTTTTATTACTTATGAATTTTTATCACATATCTGGGTACTAGATAATCAAAAAAAGTTTTAAACTAAAATATTATATTTGGTTAAAAAGAAAAAAACTAAAACATGCCATTCGCTCCCATTTTCCGAAGTTTGTTGGGTGCGGGAAATGGGAGCCGGTAAGTATCCCGTGTGTGAAATGGGAGCAATTATAATTATAATTAGTCTGAAAAAATATATAAATTAAAGTAATAAAATATATAGGTTTAAAACTAATGAAAACAAACGAGAAAGTGTTAAGGGTATATGGAATATCCAGTAGATATTGCAAAGGGGTAAAGAGAGCCAAATAGCTCTCATTACTCGCGTGACGTCGAATTGAAAAAAATAAATTAAACAGTAAAAAACATTTATGTATTTTTTATAATAATTTCAAGCAAAACACCTAAATTTTGATAGATAGAGTGACATAAGTACTGTAAATACAATGTAGTATCTATGCGTTTTAATGCTTACCTGGGATCATAAAATTTGGCAAAGTTTATAAGCGCGGAGCGAAAAACACATCCATCTCGACGACTAAACGCAGGATTCTGCGGGGGCGCCCCCGGGAAGCGAACTATGTCGAACGTTAACGCAGACATAGGAGTGCCGTTTGCACAAATATGAGCATTGGGAAACTCCAGTTTAACACCGCTCTCATTACCCGCGGGCTCTCAATACCCCCACGTTCCCCTATGTATCAAAATTTTTAGAGCAGACACGTGTTCCCAGGATTGCAATCAAAAATGTTGTATTCAGCATGTTATTTTATTTCAATGCAATTTATGTATAAACATATTTTGCAATCGGTCACTAAAAGTATTTGTATAAGATTTTACAAGACAGGTGAATTATTCGGACATCATATACATAATATATGAAAAATAAAGAAATTTTAACATCTAACTAAGAGCCAAAAAGCTCCTGTCTTGCAAAAACAATATTTATAATTGTACAAGGTAAAAACATTATTAATTAGTAATATATAAATATAGATAATAATACAGGTAAGCAATGCAATAATGCCCTCAATGCATAACACCGTGAGATAAGGCATGCTTGTAAATTGCTTATAAGTCTGTTATTGAATTAGATCCCTCCATGGAAACATCCGCATTGAAACAAGCCACTTCCTTCATTTGCAAACTGGCTGGCCCTTGGCCTAGCGACTTGTAAGTATCTAAATACGGCGCACTTATATCGATCGGAAGCGGAAGTCTTCATCACTAGTGTTGCGAGTTTAGTATATCTATAATATTATCATTACAACTAAATGCCACAACACGTGCAGCTGTATGTTATGTAGCAATAACAAGAAATTAAAAAATATATTTTTTTTATTAATATTGTATAGAATAATGTAGATCAAACTTATTCATTAGGCCATTTTTGTCTGAATGGTGAACAGCGAGCCTGTGATATAAATTTGTAACTTATGAAATGTCTGGCTCACTTTTTTCGTATTCTATGAAATAAATTCGTGTATAAAATATGTATGTGAATTTAAATATTTTTTGCTTAATATCTTCCATTCAAAATTAAAATATTACATCCACTATAAAGAGTTTATTTGTTGCTATAATTGACCAGTTGCAGTTGAAGAAATATTATTTGCACCGAATGATATTTGAATGTGAATTTCAAGATGAATGTTATCTCTTGGAACGCCTTATCTTTTCTATCACAATACAGCAATAAAACTATTAACACTTTTTTCCTCAAAGCGTACATGGACTTAATGATCTTGGTCCTTCGTACGAATCATGATTGCGCTAAATGCTTTTTCAGAGTTCTAGTTCTGAATTATTTCTTTACTAATCAGGTCGTTTGTTTAAACCAGTTAGTACTTTGTAAAATACCGACAGCCAACTCTTTTTAACATACAGATGGCACGTGCTTTACCGAGACCGCTCACTCTTTTGATTTGTTGTAATTTAAAGATGAAGCCATAAGCAGAATCGGTGCAAATAATATTTCGTCAACTATACTAACTCACAATAATGAAAATTTACATTAAAAAAAACTTTGGTTGTGTAATGTCGAATACTACCACCACCACCACCACCACATTTACAGAGCCAACCAAATAATCAGTATTTAATATTGTAAAATTTTTATGGTCAAAATGTGTGGTGAGACGCGTTCCGGGGCAATTTTAATATTTTATATTTTACGCATGGCTGTATCCAGGAGGACAACGCAAGTACCTCGACCCAGTGAAAGTACACAGTACAAGCGAGGTAAACGACTTTAAAATGTATGAAAGAAGCTCTTATAATAACGTTTTTGGTCTTGTGAATAACTTCTATTAATAATATAAGAAACGCAAAGATAACCAACTCGCCGAGTCTCGATAAAAATTTTAGGTTTAACACTTATAAGAAAGGCGTGAAGTCACATCAGTGTTTGGGTTTGCCTTTGAATTAAAAGCGATAGTGTTATAGTGTTTCTTTTTATTGTAGTAATAAATACTCGTTCCCAGTAAAGCCACGTATGAATAGCTCATAATGCAAAAAATTATGTCTATGTATTATTGTAGTAGTTAGTCAATTGTTAAGTTCTAGAGGTAGTTACGGTCGATTTTCTTAAGGAACCTATATAGGGTTATTTTTAAAATACTCACAACCTCGAAGGACTATATTACAAACATCATAAACAACAACTTTATTCCATGACTTTTTACAAAACATAATTAATTTACCAAAAGTAAACTAAGTTTTTTTTACAATCTGACACTTTTTAGATCTCTATTTGGTGGAATAAGTTCAAACGTGCAAGCGTCCTCTGCGACGACTCCGCACCCCCCCACCCCCACCGACCCCGTGCCGCACAGAGTTATTATTGTTTAGAGCTATCTATTTAGTTAGCGAATTTTTGTATGTACATAGCATAATGAACTTTATTATCAATTGAGTAACGTACAGGGTCAAGAGCACGTTCAGCTTGACAAGTTAAGACTTAAAATACAATTCTATGCCGCTTACGATAAGAACGATGCAAAGTACAAAGTGTACAAAGCTTGATGTGCTCTTTCTTGACTGTACAAACTAAATACGAGCCAAAATCTTCCGCGGAATGCACGAGCATTCTCAGTTCCCTTACGTTATATAAATTGAGCCTCAGTATTTTAAAAATAACCTCGTATAAGCAATTTCTATCATAAATATGTGGCAAGGTAAATAAAACACCAAATTAATTGTAAATGGATATATTATATACTTTTAACAAAAAGTTACATAAAAATAGTTATATTATTTACAACTAAATATTTAAGTACTTGAATACAAGGGACGGAATGTTATTTACTTTAATCACAACATTATTTGAATACTTTTTTGCCTACTATATTTATTAATTATTAGGTATCGTGGTAGGTGAAGGGGAGGCACACATTAAAGTATATGAAAAGTTAATACTAAAAGATAATATATTTCTAGAAATAGTTTATGCAGGGTTGTCTGGTGTAGGAAAGGACAGGATTTGATAGGAAAACAGTAAAAATTTGACCTAGTTGAAGGTTTGCAATCAACCACCTGACATCCGACGTGTGGTCCGCCGCTATATGTAACCCAGAAATTTCACTTATTGAAAGCAATATGTATATTACTTCAAACTAGAACAATATACAATTTTTAGAAGACACGTCTCTAAACAAATTGGAAAGCCCAACGGAATAGGAAGGTTGAAAATGTTACAAAAGCGAAATTTTAAAATGGACATCTTTTAACACACTCCTAACCATCATACGGAATCTATACCTTGTATTTATGACAACTCTAATTTGTATTTTTTTTATAATTATGTCCATAACGTTCATGGTTGTGCTTCTATTGGACTTTCGCGCTATGCTCCATAGATGGCGCGTACTATAATTTTAAAACTAACGGCATAATGCAATATTAATGTAAACATTAGGAAATGTTACAAAATTTTCAAAATTTCAAATTAAGAGCATGTCATGCTTGACACTTTGGAGCGTTATCACAAGCAGCATAGAATTGAATTTAAATCTTAGAGCCGTCGCCGTGTGTAAGCTTAACTTAAGCTTAGCAGCGCATCTGCAGCGATTCAGTCGCGATGCACGTTTTGAATGATTCAATATAACGTCACCTTAGAGCATGGTTTCCCATAGTGACCCTTACCCCAAGTGGGCGCTGGAGAGTCCAAGTGTGGCGGCGGTAGCAATTGGGGGCGTAGATGTTGTCCAGGGAATGCTACCGCATTTGAGAAAAGAAACCTGAATTATTTATATAAACTACACTATGTAGACTTATAATCATTTCCTTGTGATTTTTTGTGTTAATAGAATAATAGCGCACACACTCAACATAGCCCCGCACTAGGGAAACCCTGTGTCGCGGGTACCATGGACACACACATAGACAACCACAACACAAAGACAAATTACACCCAAACTCACGAAAGAAATAAATGTAGGCATACATACAAATATTTCTCCCGGCCCGGGAATCGAACCTGGGACCTCTGCGTGGCAGTCAGGCAGGCAATGGTGACAGTTCGGCCACAGAGGCTATAAAAAATACGTTACGTTATTTTTAATTATTTTTTGTTGTGGTGGTTCAAATTTTTTTATCTTGCCTAAGTGGGCGGTGAGCCAAAAAGTTTGGGAACCTATCTATGCCTTAGAATGAAAACCTCGCATACGCGTATTCACATTGTTCGTTTTTACTGATTTCTGCTAAAGAAAAATTTATAAACTTCCTTGCTCAAATATATTATTAAAGTAATATAGTATCTCAAAGTGGTATAATTTAACTAATTAAAATGCTAATTACAAACATTATTGCGTTTACTACATTTTACACCACATTTTTATCTTCGTCCTGAAAAATTACATAGAAATCACACACGACGTATTTCACTCTAAGACGAAGATAAGCGACTGCATCGCTGCTAAAAGTTACCGTGTGTAACCGTTCTTAAATGTCAATGTTGACGTGCTCTTAACTATGTGCCTGTTCCAGATAACTTTTGTATTTTACGTCGTTAAAATGGACAGATGTAAAAAATGTCTAAAGATTCGATGAACATATTCAGAAAATATGCAGGTAGTCATTTCAACAGTAAGTAATTCTTAGGACAAAAATTTCAACAACATTTGAGCTTTGGCTTGTTAATTTAAAATAAATAAAAAATAATAACATTCGCAGATTTGCAGATCTCTAATATACACTTTCTTCTCTTAAATGTGACTAGGCATGTACCATTGTGATATGGATGCTTCCTTTTATTTAATTTGACGTTTTATTTTAAATATCTAGTTATTGCCAATTTCAATTATATAAAAAACTGCCTGCAAAGCTTAAAAATATGGTAAACTTACCACATCTGATTTAAAAATAAAATATGAATACAAAATAAATACACTTAAAGAATTACCATGTTAATAAATTGTTTACTTAATTTAACTTGCATGAATAAGAGTACAAATATGTACCTACTTGAAATACTTCTGTACAACAGTAAAACTTTATGGCCACTCTAAATAAATAATTTTGAAAATGGTTCTAATTCATGAATAAATATTATTAAAAAAATAAACCGTGTATATTTATTTTTGATATGTAGTCAAATTAAAAGCATAGTTTTACTTCAGCCTAAACATAAAATCTTATAACGTAATTCGTTAGTAAACATTAGAATTGATATAATTATTATATACCTATGTATATAATTATAAAAGTACACTTAAAAGAGTACTTAATAAAACCAAAAAAATCATCTCTTATCTGTGTAAATAAGTATCTATGCTTTGTAAAAATACATAGGAAAACGTAAACCTAAAACTAAACCGGTATTATATTGATATGTTACATTGGACGGATTTCGTGAATACTGCTGTTCAATTATTCAGTAAAGCTGCACATTTTGATTGGGTAACGTGAAGAACTTGGCGATACCTGCTGGTGGTTTAGTTTTGAGATGCTCTTCGATAAACTGGCACGGGCAGACGTACTTGGCGCCGTGGCGACCGGGCACCGTGCTGCTCACATTCAATCTGTTTTTAACAGCGTAGGCACCCCATCGGCCCGCGTAACGTAATAACAGAAGCGCACCTCTTTCCTGTCGACACAATCATGAGCACAATTTGAACACATGCCTATTTAACATTGAACAATTAATCTACACACCAATTCTAGGAACCTTTAAGTACGCAGGTTTATGAAACAATGTAAAACAAAACACTATCTCACAAGGAGGATCGCTGTTCTTCAATTGCCATTACAAATTATTATTAAACCCTCTATTTATTTAATGCGGTATAAAATGAAAAGGATCGACAATACAACGGACGTAAAGGTTCCCGAAACGTCACAAGAAGTTATAAGAAGACTTGCCAAACGTGAAGCGGTTTGGTCAATCGAGACCGCGCCGCCTGAGCCAGTCGTTGCAGAACGGGCAACAGGCGCGGGAGTCTTTCGGCTCTTTATTGCGCAAGACCTCCTCAACGTACTGGCACGGGCAGAGCGCTTGCGCTAAATGTCGCGGCGCCGCGGGGTTACCGCCGTCCTCGTCAAGAGTCCAGTCGAGCCGGCGCCGCAAGAAGTCTTTGCCCCACCGCTGCAGGTACCGGAGGTACACTTGCTCTGCCATACCCTGCACATTCATATGCCTTGCTTATCCAAACAAACTACGTATTAAATTGACTACTTAGATAAACTGCCGTATTAATTATCTATCTACTGAAAGTATTTGACCATACAGAATGAAAAAATTTATGCTGAAGCATTGCATTGAAATAAGAAAATTGTACATATTTACGCCCGTTAACATAAATCAGAAAGTTTAACTAAAATATGCATAACAAAGTGCAAAAATATTATTCTGCTGAATCATGCAATACAGAAACGTGACATTCAGGACATAAATCATAGATAGCTGAAAAGATTATATCTTCTAAAAATCTTATAAGACGTCAGGTAAGCCATAAAGTTCAAGCTCTTAAAGTTTTTGGTGAAAGTCTTTAGTTGTATTTAAGTAGTTAAGCGTGTAAATTTTAGAGTACTTCCACAGATGATTCGGAAGACCATCAACTGGACTTATCAATTTCATTCATATGAACGTGAAAAATGCATTAACACCAATTTCTAGTATAACTAAAAATTGCTATTATTGAAAGGAAACTGGGAATGCCAACGTATTATCTGCATGGTGTGTCCGTATATTAGAAAGAATGTTGGTATGGGTAAGTGTTAGAGTTCTCTTATAATGATCGCGACTTGTGCTCAATACAACTCAAGTAACAATTTTACATTACAAGATACAATCTCAGTACAGAGTACTAAATAAACCAACCTCAAAAGTCATTCATCCCCTGGTTTGCCACCCTTAGAGGTGGAATATTGTCTTCAAATTAAAATGAGACCACTACTGATGTACCCTCTTTCCAACAAAAAAGAATCGTCAAAATCGGTTCACAAATCGCGTAACATACATAAAAAAAAACGTACAGTCGAATTGAGAACCTCCTCCTTTATTGAAGTCGGTTAACAAAAGGTGTGGGGTAACAAGTTATTAAATATAATTGAAATAAATTGTCTTCTATCTTGTAATTTCTTCTAAAAACACTAATACGGCGTTCATGGCGAATTAGTTTTTCACACAATAAATAGAACAGAGCTTAAATATTTGTAAGCTATGACAGCATATACGACAATTACGAACCTACTAATGCTCTGTACCTTAGGAGACTCTTTCACCATTTGGTTGTACAAGTTCCTTACTTGAGATTATTTTGAACTACTGTGATTATGGAGTAACTAAAAAGTTGTTTCACTTGTTTCATATTGACGCAAACTGTTTTTCTTTTTTCTAAACTAATATGTGAATGTATGGTTACAAGTTTAAAACAATAGATTCAATTTCACTGGATATGGCATTTTCACAGTATCATAAGTATGAAATGTAGTTATATGTGAATTGTGTGTGTGAATTGAATAACTTGATTCAAAACAAGTCGGTAACTAAGTTATACATTAATATTACCAAGACACTGTGTTATCAAGACCAATTGTTAGAGGCTAAACAATAAAAAAACTGTTATTTAGAAATTACTGCTTTCAGAAAAATTATGGAATGTTAGGTTAGTTAAAAAAGCTGTTTGCTAAGCACAATATCCATTAGTTAGAATGTTTTTAAATAATATTCTTTTATCAATCAGTTAATTATTTGTTATGTTTCCAATATGAAAATAATAAGACAAAACATCAATTGTCAAGACAAACCCTTTCAAATAATATGTATGCAGTACACATTCAACTCATACATATTTACACAGATACATTATTAGGACAAGGTCAGCACAAGAATGTTAAGGATATGGCAAGTACAAATAATGCTCAGCAAAAATTAATCATGCTCATAATTTCATGTCCTGAAAAGTGTGTACCACCAATATCCTAGTAATTTGGCTAAGTTATGCCCCCAGTCACTGGCTCTGTGTCTTTCTATGTTACAAGTTTTTAAATTAATATGTGTAACTCATTTATCTGACTGCATTCTGTTCCTACTAATTGTATGGAAGGCAGCATATCAAGCTAAACATTGACAGATCTTACAATTATTAATAAAAAGATGTAACACAAAGAAAAATTCATTCAACCTAGTAGGACTTGAACCAGTATCCACACTGTACCATAGCATTGCTCTGCCGACTGAGCTACAGAACTTAGCAGGTTGACGAAATTCTTCTGTGTCTTCTTTTTGGCTTTCAACACTGTATTAATAATTAAACTAGTGGAGTTATTTCATAAAAATATATGATATCACGGTGGAAAAAATGGTGAAATAAAAAAATCAATTGACAGATCTTGTTCCTTTGCCCTGGAAGTGATATTTGAAGAAAAGTGAATAGCTTGATGTGCTGTTGACTGTATTACAACATAGTACTAAACAATCATTCATATGATGTGTATGTAAATGTTTTGTTCAGATAAATTAAGTCTCATTTTTAATGGCAACTGATTTGTAAGACATGATTTTTACAGAATAAAATACCTGTCTCCTGGATAATCTAGTTTGTTGATTCCCTTGGATAACAATATCATTGGCAGAGACATCCAGCCTCTGCTCCCAGCCCTGCATTATTGTCTTGCCTTCTTCACTCTCAATGAACTGCTGTATATGAGCTACGCAAGGTGCAGAGTCAAAGTAAATGAAACATAGGTTCACTTTGTGACATGATATCTTTCCTCTGTCATCCAGCGCAAGTATCAGTTTATGTTTATTGAGCAATTTGTTGACACTGGCAAGGCATTGTTCCAGACCTTTTGAGAGTCTCAATTTTATCCACATGCAAAGAAATATAGCTGCTGCATTTAGGATAAGCCATAAGACTCCTAAGGAAAACAATGTGAGGCCAGTTAACCCCGAAAATAACAATGCTAAGAGAACAAGGAAAGCCAGAGTAATCCAGCAGACGAGGACACGTTTATAGCAAATGTTGTACAGAGTAAATCTAGCATCATTAACCAGGAGTTCCATTGCATGCACATATTCTTCAACTGTCAGCTGAAAACAAATATAATAACAATTAAACCATCTACATGATCTAATAGGAAATAATAAATACAAACATGTAATATTAAAATACATACGGTAAGTCCTTGTGCCATTAATTCCTCAGGCACGAGTTCTGGTCGGAAGTGAGCAGCGGTGATCCATGGCCATTTTGAATTTATGGGAAGCAGCGTCACGATTATGTCACCATTAGCTGGACAAACGTAACAGCTTAATCAGTTCCGATCTTAATAGAAAAATAAAAAGTACTTACAACACTCAGGGTCGTATTCCAGAACTCTACTCAATGCTCAAGTCCGGATCTGAGTATGATTTCAAGCACTGGAAATACGACCCTAATGGCAAGGACTTGAGTATGATTTCTAGTGCTTTGAATCATACTCAAGTCCTGACTTGAGCATTGAGTAGAGTTCTAGAATACGACCCTAAATCCGTCAAATTTGAAAAAAACTTCGAAGTTCCGTTTTTGGACGAAATCCCTTTTTACTCTTCAAGCGCATTATCAGACAAAGCTTAAAATATAATTTGATGTCTGATGATGATGATTTGATAATGTCAAGATGAAAGATAAGTCTTATTATAAGTAAGTTAACAAATACATACCAAATCCATGACGCACATTCACGAATTCGACGTTTTTAGAAAGAGTAACAGGAGGGACTGTTTCTATGTGTCTGTCGCCTCGTTCTAAATTAACATGTACAGTTTCAGTTCTCAGCACTGCAGGACGTTCAGGAGTAGGAGTATCTGATGTGCTTGGTGTGGCTGCCGTCGAAATACCCGCCGCTGTAGATTCTGACAAGGGATCACTTGTTGGCGTAGACTCATCGTCGAATTTCACCCAATTTTTAGGCGTCTTATCATTAACACCTCCATTTATTTCACTTGTTTTTGTTACTTTATTTTCCACGTCAGTATTACTCATTTTACACGAACTTGCTTGTTATTTTATTACTATTAATCATAAAAATCACAATAAATACGAACACCCGTGCTTCCTCGAGTCACCTACTTGTCATATTTTTTTTTTAATGATCACTGGCTAATAGGGAATTTCAGCATGGAAAAATAATAGATTTAAAAAAAACGCGGGATATATTCGAAAGAGGCGGACGTATTTTTCTCATAAACTATTTTTTCCCATCCTTAAGGGTCGTATTCCAGAACTGTACTCAATGCTCAAGTCAGGATTTGAGCAGACTTGAGTATGATTTAAAGCACTGGAAATACGACACTAATGGTATGGTTTCTAGTGCTTGAAATCATACTCAAGATCCTGACTTGAGCATTGAGTAGAGTTCTGGAAGACGACCCTAAGATTTTTCTTGGTTTTAGTGGTTTTTAATAATTTGCGGGATCTAGAGAGGTCTGATGGTGTAAATATTTCTAGTACAAGTTTACATTTTTCACTTTGGGTGAGTTACTAGTAGCAGTAGAAGCTCCTTGTGAAAAGAGTTCGTCCAGGGGGCCTACTATGAGCTTATAAGCCAACTAGCCAAGTTCCTTGCAATTCACTTGGCGTGGTAAAACCACGGATTGGCATATTAAACTGGACCGCGCAAGTTAATAAAACGAGCCGAGTGAGAGGCTTCAAAGTAGTAATGCGTCCCTTTCTAATAGTTGTGTTCATTCTATTTCAGCCAGCTATATAGTTCTTAAATTTTTTAAATGTTGCCGCTTATGTATAACCAAAACTACTAGTATTATTTCATAATACAAATTAGCATACTTCATATGCTACTTCATAATCGAAGGTTTCATTGTAGATATATATTTTTTGTATTATTACAGTAAAAGCATATTATCTGTAAACTAATTTTACTTAACCAAAAAAAAAGTTAATAGACTAGACCATGGAATTAATAAGTACTTCGTACAAAGTACTTATTAATTCCATGGACTAGACTAAGATGATTTTATTTAGCGTTGGCAAAATGTTAGACAAGGACAGACGACTACTTCGTTCTATCTCACGTGACTCGGTTTTTTTACTTTTACTTAAAATAAATCTTAATATAACCCAATAAGGTGTAAATTTGTAATATTGGTATATCGAAGTGCGCGATCCAGTTTTTTGAAATATAAATCCGTGGGTAAAACCACTGAGCATATAACCACAATTGCTTAAATTCGTATCATGACCTATCAAAGTTGATCGAGAACGGCATGACAGGATGATAAGTTTTACTTTTTAAACGTTAATTATTGTCTCTGGCTGGCTAGCTGACATCTAACAAGAGCAAGATAAAAGTACATACTAAATCATATGAAAGAAATAGACAGATGTAATATCATGGGAGCGTTCAAGCACTATTAACCGATTGTGTTGGAAATAAGAATAATTAAATTTTTAATTAAGTTTATTATTGATTATACTTACTAAGTTGTTTTGTAGTATCGGCAACTTTTCAATCATACTTTACAATTTGACGTACGACAAAATTACAATCATGCCTAGTCATTATCATTGAAATTAATAAGGTGAGTTTGTAATTTGATAACATAATTGGAACGTATCTTGTATTCGTATATTTTCATTGATTTTATAGTCTTTGGCACTATTTAAAAGTTATTTTACGATTTTCGGTTAATAAAATAATTAAAATGACAAAAATCCCATTTAAAAATTGCAATTACATTCATGTCAATAATACTTTAAAGATTGGTAACTCGAACTAAAATTTTCAAAAAACGCTCAATAGTTAATAGGATTTATTTAACCTATAAAGATAACAAATAATTTTATTATGAAACTGAAAATGTAATAAAACTTAAACGAAATTTCTTAAAAATGTAACAAAGTCTAAAAAAAGTTAGTCACGGAGTAACTTTTTTTGAATTGCTTATTTTTACAGATGAGGCTGCCACTTGCATGGCAAATAGCACGTCATAAGATTTTGCTATGAAACGGTAAACGGATATCGAATGGGAAATGTAAACTGCATGGACAGTGAATTGTTTTTGTGAGGGCATAGTACGAATTTGACAGGCAATCCAACTTACTTACTTACTTACTTAGCTTAAATAGGAAGAGCTTATAGTAGGCCCCCAGGACAGTATTGCTACCTTACCTATTTCTGTCGCCAAGCAGTAATGTGAGCATTACTGTGTGCCGGTTTTGAACGGTAAAGGTCCTGGTGAAATTACAGACACATGGGATTTGTCAACTGCGCCTGTCTCAGGGTGACAGGTGCAGTGGCAGTGCCCCTGAGATACAATATATAGGTACTACCTGAGATATATATCAAGAGGTCTATGTTCTAAATTATAATATAGTGGACTGTTTTTCATATCCTTAGTAGACTTATTACTTATAAAAAAAATATATTAAGAATATTTTTCTTATAAAGTTATTGAAATAAACCTAAATTAAAACGATTACTCTTATTACACTATCCCAAGAAAGTAAAAAAATCGCGAAAATTGCATGATGTTACTACATCGACAAACTTTGATAACGATTTGTGTATTTTTGACCTCGGACTATCCTTATTTATTATTTTTTCTTCAGTTTCATACTGTATTGATGCCTGTACTATTCCCCACTTTTAATTTTTTTAAATGTTTCTTATTCCAATAAGAAGTAATTTTAAACATTTTACATAGAAAATAATCTACATACTTAAATTGGGACAAGGTTACATAAAAATACGTGTAACACGTAACACATACACCCACACTATGTTGCGGTATGCTTATACTGTGATGTTTTAATATAAATGCGAGAATTCATGTCACTCGTTCTCCTTACGAATGACATAGACGTATGCACAAGAGAAACAGGGGCACAGGGCATTGCAGGTAACTTTACCTTAGCCGCTTCTACATTTTATGCAGCCAAATGCCCTACCAAGCAGTGCCGCGCCGCGTGCCGCCGCGCCTCCGCCCCGCAGACTACCTGACCAAAAAGCTGCATGACCGGTTCTCCCGCTCACACTCATGGGCTATATCTCGCAAATTCACTCCCACTAGCCGGTTTCGCCTACCGACCAACACGTACCGTTTAACAAACGGTCGTATTTTTGTCCTCATGTGGTCAAACGATGGACGTTAAGTGCTAACTGGCCGCATTTGACCAGTAACGTTTTGTTTATAGTTTTCAATGATGTGAAAATCAGTGCAAAGTGACTTTTTCAGTGTATTTGTATCTTTATTTTCATTTTATAACCATCACACAGGTAGATATGTGGAAACATATATACCTATATATTATTATAAAAGCTCTAGACAGAAATTAGGCACCTGTTCATTATAAATGTAATATTTCCTTCAAGATAACACATGAAAAAAAAAATTATTAATGAATATGGAATCTCTACCAAAACAGTTCGTATCAGCAATGCGAACATTATTCGATATAATGGATGATAAACGGACAGGGTATGTAAACCTAACCGATATCGAAAACCGTTGGCGCGATGATCGCACTAAGGGATTACCGCGAGGCGTCATAGAAAGCCTTCAAAAGGTCGCCTCCCATGAAGGATTTTTAACATTTGAAAAGTTTTGTACAGGCCTAAAAATATGCCTTCTACGAAATCAAGTGCAAAATGCGTCGAACAAACCAGAAAGAATTATTAATGACGATGTTGAAACTACAAAGTTGCACCCACCACTTAACAATAAAGTCCATCGTCCGCCATCTGCTCCTTTATTAGATGTAAACGATAATCAAAATATTGAGAGAAATTGGAATGTCCTGAAAAATCCAGAAGGTTCTTCTCAACAGAGAACTATTAGTATGCCTCAATTAATTGGAAGGAAAGAGAGTCCGTTACAAGAGCTAAGACATCATAATGCTCTTACAAATATATCAAAACACGAGCCGCCACACCGAGTGTATCATGGACCGCCAAAGCCACCAAGGCTTGAAAAGAGTGTAGCAGACAGGAAAGAATCTTCTCGAACCGCTTACAAATCGGAGGAGGAAATAGGTTTTGATAATGAGGTATTAATAGCGGATACTAAAATGGATTTTGAAGAAATTTCGAGGACTGTGGAAGAACAAAGTAGAGGTCTTGGTGATGGCCGCCCATCTAATGAAACTCAGTCTACCCTAAGGAGAACATCACGACGAAGGGAACCTCGCAGACACACTTTACATAATGGTGTAGATTATAACCTTTTAAAGAGAATGAAACAAATTGAACAAGAAAAAGATGTGTTGCTACAAGGGTTGACTGCAGTGGAGGAGGCTCGGGAATGGTACTTAAAGCAGTTAGCTGAAGTTCAAGAAAAAATGCGGTACGCGGGAAGGATGGGCGCCTATGTGGTAAGTAAATTAAGTGGATTGATTATACGAAAAATAAATACACAGGGCAAAAAGCGTAGGTAATTTACAAATAAAAACTAACGGTAAAATGTTATCCATGAATCAAATTACAATGATAAGTAGGTAGCTCTGTGCTATTAAATACTATACAGGTGATGACACAGCCGTAGGCATCAAATATTCATGCTACGCTTACAATTCTGTTTTTTTCCGTTTATTATTCTTATTGAATACTACCTGTATAGATACCTAGGTCCCTACGAACGTTCTTTATTTGAAAATATTATTCAATTGTTACTGACGTTAGTTGGTAAATGAGTAGGTTTGTAATTTATTTACCGATTGTAACAAGGCTTTTTATGTTAATTATAACTGCATTCTATCGCGACTCGTGTGTGGTAGGTATTTGAACTTTCAAGGTCGCTTGTTACGAAAAGCTTGAACCCTCAGCTTGCATTTTGAGTACCTCACTTAGTTGCACGAAAACGAAAGACATACAATAATATAATAATAATAATAATATATAGGTAAGGACAGAAAATACCTCAGTGAAACTCGTTCCTAGTGGAAGGAGAAAATATTTTATCCCGCTCCGCTCATCTGTTTCCCTCTCTTTTTTTTATAATACTAAATGACGGGACGAACAAGTCGGTGCACCTGGTGGTAAGCGACATACCTGTCCATAATACTTAGTTGCAGTGCCACTCGAGTTTAAATCACAAAGATTTGAGGGATACTGCCATGCGTCCGTCTACGTGACATAATGTCCCATGTACCCGTAATTTCACCGCCACCCTTACTTACACAATAAGCTCACATTATTGCTTGGCGGCAGAAATAGGTAAGGTGGCAGTACCTAGGTACTTCCCTGGACGAACTCTTTCACATAAGAGCTCTACTGCTACTAAATTTACCCTTTTGCAGTGGAAGCGAACTACTAATAGTGTGTTGTACCTACGTCGATGACGATGATACATGCTTACTGTATTACGTCGATAATGTTGAATCAATAAGAAGAGCCCAAAATTAATTAAAATGCACTTTACGCATAGGTTCAATACAAGATATTTACACCATAAATATGGCTAGAAAAATTTTGAGATTTTCACTGCCAAAACTTAGAATGCCAAAAACAAAAATATCTCAAACTTTTTATCTTTGACTAGTGACTTTGATTCTTCTTCTAAATGAGCTAGGCTTTTGTCTGTGGAGTAATCGCGAACCATCTCTGTTCAACGTCCTTGTAAATTTCCTAATACAGCGCGATATATCCTTATCTGATTTTCTCTTAGAAATTGTTCTTTTTTAGAAATATCATAGAAGGGGAGATCGGAAGAAAGAAAGGCAGAGGACGACGGAGACAAAGTTATTTAGATCAGATAAGTCGTACACTCGATAAGTAAACTCGGAAAAATATTTAGGTCTTATCGTGGACAGTCATTTAACGTGGAAATGGGAAACAAATTCTTCAATCTGAAAAAAATATATATTGGTCCCATCCCTCCAGTCATATCTCAAGGTATTCCGTTAAGTGTTCGTTATATGATTGATTATCTAAGTGAACGGACGAAATCACACCTAGACTAGGTGCTTTGTCGAAGTATGGGATTCTGCTTCCAAAATATAAATATATTTATAAACAGTACCTACAAAACAAAATTATAAAACTACTTTACCACTACTATTACCTTACCCCAACGACACCCATTTACCAGAACTCAAAATTAATGACAATTTCCTAAATAGTAGTATTAAGGCTTGGATAAAATGGAAAAAAATACAACAATATCTCAGTTTATCAAATCTTTTCATTATTAATTAGAGAACGTCTTAAAATAGAATCACACTTCCGGTATAAAGCTTACATAAATTTAGTTGAATATAGTATTAGGAAGAATGCTATGTATTTCTGGTCGTATGTGTCAAGTCGGGGGCGCAAAGAAAGTATACCGAACATGATTACCTACAAAAATAAAACAGTAAGTGACCCTATTTCTATATGTAACATGTTTTCAGAGTTTTTCTTGTCCGCATTTGATCCCTCAGAATTGTCAGTTAATTTTAGGATTGATGAGTTAGATTCAAAATGTAACCATAATTATAATCATGATAATAACATATGTGATATAATGGTGATATAGTAATATCTGAACATGACATTATAAAACACCTAAATAATTTAGACACAACTAAAGGCCCTGGCACAGACAACTTGGCTGCTATCTTTTTAAGAAACACAGCTAAAACCATTTACAAGCCATCACATATTTTGTTTAACAAATGCCTTAGTTAAAGTACTCCCAAATGCTTGGAAAGCAGCTAAAAATTACCGCCCTATTTCCATTTTACCTCCTGTATCTAAGATATTTGAAAGACTAGTACATCGTGCTATATATCCCTCACTTCACAGTACTATTATTCCACAACACGGGTTTGTGCAACGGAGGTCCATTGTAACTAACTTTCTTATGTAGGTACACAACATGGATTCAAATAAGTAAACTGACAGTATTTATAGATTTTTCAGAAAGCATTGGACAGGGTTGACCATAAGAGGCTACTTGAAAAAATCACTTTCAATTACCGTTTTGCGCTGGTTAAAATTATGTATATCCAATTGTACACAAAAGATTGTGATTAAAGGCTATGAGTCGGAGACTGTCAGAATTAGCTCAGCTGTACCTCAGGGATCTATTCTTGTACCATTACTTTTTATTCATATCAGTAACTGCTTTAAATTTTGTAATTGCTTGCTCTACGCCGATGATCTAAAAATTTATCACACAATTGAATGTACTCAGGATCTTGAATGCTTTCAGGGAGACCTCGATCGCTTTACCACTTTCTTTACTGAAAATAAACTAAGTCTGAGTCTTAATAAATGTCAAAAAGTAACATTCACTAAGAAAATATCGTATTTGAGGCATTCATATGAGCTTTGTGGAGTAAAACTGCATGAAGTTAATGCTATTAGACCTGGGAGTAATACTTGATTCGAAGTTGCATTGGGATACACATGGTGAGAGTATCATCAATAAAGCATTCAAATCATTTGGCTTTATTATGCGCTCCAGGATGGAATTTAAAATGCTCTCATCTTTCTTAATTTTATATAAGTCCCTTGTTAGATCACAATTAGAATACGCTGTGCCAATTGGAATCCTTATTGAGAGGGTGCAGAAAAAAATTCTACGTTGTGTACACTATAGATGTAAGGGTAATACAATTATATATGACCAACTTCTTGAAAAATATAATTTGTTAGATCCTATCGCCGGCGAAATTTGAAAACCTGTGCTAACGTTTGATGCACCCAATAATATATTTAAAACACAAAAGTCTTGTATTTATTTAAGTGTTATGATATGAATAACACAAGTAAATATTACCTATCTGAATATATGCTGGCATTTCACCAGTGACATCGTATAACTACTAATTATGGGAAGTAATTCTTGGGTCAGTTTCTTACTTCCGGGCTTAGAGCATCTAAGCTTCTGAGCAATAAATTACGAACTAATTTATTTGGGCAAATTTCTATTTTTAATACAGTTAAAAACTGTGGCAGAAAAAGTATAGATTCTTTTTTATTGGAATTGCGCATTGAGATTTTGCCATTCTTGTTATCCTATAGTTAGGCCACTGCTCAATGTATGTACATACTATGCTAAAAGCAAACGGTTGCTACAATACTGCAAATAAAAAACATATCGTATTCTTACCTACCTATTAAAATTATTCTAGGAACCATGGAGTGAAGCTCATCAAGAGCGCCTAGAGTTACTCAGAGCCAGAGTATTGGAGCTAAACCGGCAACTGGGATACTTGGCTGCCGGCTGGCGGCATGGACAACTATCTTTGCACATGAACTTGGCGCTGCCGGCCGCGCCTCTACCTGGTGCCCCTGGGGCCCCCAAAAATGCTTCCATTCTACGGTCGCAGAATCGTATGCTGACCGAGGTTGGTACGATTTTTCATGTTCAAAGTAAATTACAATAAATCTTGCCCTGAATTTTCTAATTATTTGTATACAATTAAACGGTTATCAATTGATAATGGTTGTACAAGTATTATTAAAAACTAGGTGATGGTCCAATACCTATTGTTCGCGTGTAATGAGGTAAGTAACTGACGTTAGTCTGTAAACAGCACAGAACAATAAAGAAAAATCGTATAATTCTGTAAACTACGAAACACCCATATTCAATTAAGGAAAAAAAAACCTATACACACCAAGTACTATGTTAATAGTAGTGTTAAAATATGATTTACCGTAAAATTTGTATCATCCTTTATTATACAATTCCTTTCAGAGGTAGATTTGAAGATCTCATACACGTTTTTTTACGAAGAATATTTATTTTAAATTTCAAGATGATAATATATTATGACCTGAGGAACCCGTTTTCCCGTACCAAATACTCTATACCTTGTTACTTCATAATTATAACTCTGCTCTAATCCAGCACTAGAGCTAGAACCTTGTATCGCGGGTGCCATGGACACACACATAGACAACCACAAATTACATCCAAACTCACGAGAGAAATAAGTGTAGGCCATACAAATATTTCTCTCGGACCGGGAAACGAACCCGGGACCTCTGCATGTTAGTCCAGCATGGTAATCATTCGGCCACGGAGGCAGTTCGATTAGAAAGCGGATCATAAGAAGAAATCTTCTGTAATCGCAAAAAGACTCCTCAAAATCCATACGGCCATTTTGGACAAATGTCCAGACTGACAGAAAAAAATTCTAAAAATATATGCTGTATAAATGTTGGTATTTCTTCAAATTATAAGTATAGTTTTAATTATATGTATAGATGCGAAACAATTCGATTTCTGATATTCCTAAATGTTTGTTACAGGAAGTGAACTGCAAAAATGAGAAGATATCCATCTTGGAGAGGGAAAAATCAGCGCTCATAAGAGAACTTCTGCTTCAGAGAAACAGATCTAAAATGATAGACAACTTTTCATAAAATTATTCACACATAAAAGTACATGATCATATTTGTATGTATTTAGTAGACCACACCCTTGGTATAATAAGCCACATGTGAAAATACCTCTAAAATGCTTTTATCACAAGAAAGTCATACAAATAATACAAACTACATGAAAAAAATTATGCATAAGTATATGAATAACTCTCCTATTTAAGCATAAAAAAGTTATCAAGTAATTTTGTTTATATTTAAATTCAAGTTTTAAATCTCAGTACTGCTTAGTACTACGGATCCGGCGACGTCGCCATGGTGTCCCGGAGAGACAGGGCTCTTAATGTCAAGTTTGACATGCTCTTGACCATGTACAAAGAAAGTTTTGATTAGTTTGCATGCTATACACTATACAGTAAAGTTGTGACCTGTAATAAATTTTTAACACTGCAAAATATTTCATGGTGCCAAGTTACTTTTAAATACTTTTGCTATATTATTACTTTCTAGTTACATTTATGAAATGTAGAGCAAATATTAATAATAATAACCATAAATTTGCATAATACAATAGGAAACAACTGATACTACTGTGAAAGTTTATGCGAGGCGCTGAAATTATTTCTTCTGAACCAGATCTTGTTCAGATTTTACATATAAATAACAAAATGAAAACATAATGTTGTTCTCATTTCAAAATTATGTAACATTCTTTATCTAGTTTCTAACATTATAATACAAACATAATATTCTTATACATACTACATTAATTTTATATAAATAACTTGATGTTTAATCAGTTAGAATAGTGCCATAAATAAAATACATTGTATTTGCTGAAAAATATTGTGCAATGAAACAAATACATTTTATTATTCTACTATACCCACATTTTTTTTATTAAACTAATAAATTTAAACATGTATTTTTAGTTACTATTTTATTTAGAGTATAAGGAGTAATCATAATATCTGAATGGTACATCATAGGTAAGCAGACCCTGGTCCCAAGCTCGTTCTATAGCCACTAGTAGCTCTTTCTGTTTCTTTTGGCAAAGTCCAGTATCAAAAGCATCCAATATCTAGAAAAAAAGCATTTTTTTAATTAATGATTCATTCTAAACTCTAAAGTAAGTCAACAGCTTCAAAATATTAAACAACATTTAATACATTATTAAACTATTTTGTGTTATGAAAGACCATGAATGGCACTGCTGCTATAATATGTATTGTAATAACCACTGTCTGTAATTAGTGATTAAGTCTCACTGTGGTAAAAACTACATATCAAGAACAAAGTAGGTATGATACAAACTTGGCCAGTGTATTTTGAAATGAATTGTTCAAGTAACTTTGTATTTCTGTGGTCCAGCACCAAATATTCATCTCGGCAAATAGGGCATGGATTTCCTGTCGAAATAATTCCGTTTCTGACACAAGACTGCCTTGTTTTCCGAGGTGCAAAACCGCCTTTGTGATTACGACGGTAAGACGACCATACAACTTTTTCGCCGTATGTCTGCTGATACGCTTTGCTATTCAAATACCTGATACTAGTTTCTACAGGTATTACTTTAGTTCTATCCTTTGTTGGATCTATAGCTTTCTCAACGTCTGCGGTCCCTTCTGCTTGCTCACTGTAGAATCTTGCACACGTTCTAACATCTGATAAAACGATTCTTTGTATTAACGACCGAATATTGGCTGTTAATGCCATAGTTTATTACACAAAAAGGTTCTAAACTGGTGTAATTTTCTTTAAGAAATTTAAATCGGAATATTTTATAATGCCCTCTATGGGTGCAACATAACCTTACTTTTCAACATGACATCTGACTGACAGGTGACAGTAGGTTTTTTTTGATAGTGCCACCCTTAGAATAATAACGCAGTGCCACCAAGCATAAACGAATCGAAAATTACTTTTTTTAGAATATTCAATCAATAGCAGTACATAAGTTAAGTCGTGTGTCGCGAAATGCAATATATAAACAACTACTGGCTACTTCACAAAAATATAATAAAATTATACTAATTTCTGTTTCGTTGATTATGAAATCATTTGTTGTATAGATCTTAGACTTTTTTTCCATCCTCTAAGGTATAGATTATCGATATCGATCGACGTCACTAAACAAAAATGTTGTTTTTGACATTGTCAATTGAAACCTCCAAAATTTCAAATAATAACCGACTGTAGACGTTTCAACGACCGACAAAGAGATTGATTATAATTTTAGTTCTTTTATGTGTAGAAGCTTACAATTCAGTAATTAGTTATATAATAAAATCAAGCAGCCTGAAAGTCTAAAATGGCGGAGTTGGGAGTCGAAAGCAACGGTATAATGTGAGTTATATTTTATTTCTTTCTATCTGGCAGGCCGAGCATTTCATTATTATAATTTAACAAACAATCAGAACGTGTAAGGTACTTATTAAAGAGACATTAGACATTATCATCAACTTTTCAATGCTATGGTATTGAAATGATTTGAAGTCATTGATTTAAAAAAAAAATTAAGTCCGACAAATGGAGCAGTAATAGCAGTATATGAAAGTGTGTCAAGAGGCGATAATACTGTACAATAATCTTCGCATACTTATGTCGTACATTCTGTAAACATCCACATATGCAATAAATTAGGCATTCAGGGTCGTATTCCAGAACTTTACTCAATGCTCAAGTCGGGACTTGTGCAGACTTGAGTATGATTTCAAGCACTGGAAATACGATCCTAATGGCATGGACTTGAGTATGATTTTCAGTGCTCACTGCAATACTCAAGTCAGGATTTGAGTATGGTTTAAAGCACTCAAAATCATACTTAAGTCTCTGCCATTAGGGTCGTATTTCCAGTGCTTGTGTTGCCAGTGCAATCATGACTTGAGCATTGAATCGAGTTCTAGAATACGACCCTTAGTCACTAAGAAGGCACTTAGGAAAATGGCCTTGCCTATGAACATTTTAGTACCTAATAAAATTTATTTATACACACCAATTTATTTCTTAAACAGATACATTAAATTGCCACCTATTTAATATATGACTTTGTACTTTGTAGCTATTGAAATTATTGCAGTAAATACTAGTGATTGTAACAATATATAAATTTATACTATGCTGTTATTGATTTTTTTCTTCTATAGTTGTGCATTGAGGATATTGTTTTAAAGTCACTATAAGTATTGTACTTGTTGTTGATATAGTACCTATGTTAAGTTTTCCTGTTGACATACTTATGTATTTTGTCCATTACGTAAGGATTACAGAATATTTTGAAGTGTTAAAATTATGTAAATTGAGCATGTGAAACACTGAAGACAATTTCCATTGGAAGACCAATCAATCTACTTAGGTATTGTGCCTTCTTTTTACTTTAGTGTTATCTTAATAAATTACAAATGATCCAAATAGCAGATCAATATTACACAACGTATGAATAAGAATGTTTGTTATTAAATGGGTACATTCTATAATATTCTGATATGCATTGTATCATTTAGGCAGTAAAATCGAACCCAAGGAGGACATTCCTCAAAAAATTTGTTACATCTGCTATGTGAATTTAATATCAACTTACTTGAAATATGCAATGTCAATTAAGTCAACAATGGCAAGACTGGATGATATACAGATATCTGCTATTCTCACATTATGGTGTTCTCAGCCTAATTACCATAGCCATTTTGGTATTTTCAGCCTAATTACCACAGTTAATTTTTTAAATTTATATCTTTTGCTACATTTTGTTTATGTCTATTGATACAAGAACCATTCAAGATTTTTTTAAATTCAAAGTAGGTTATTTAATATTTGGTTAGTTGTAATAATTAAAAATGATTCCAATTCTTTCTTATGATTATTCACAGCTGTTACAAAAACAGTGTAATAATTTATATTTTGATTATTTCTGCCGATACAGAACCTTAAAGGTTAAAAAAATGTTTTATATCGGTGTTATTCATAACAAAAAGTGAAGAAAATTAAAATCAAAGTTATTTATATGTTGTTAGTTGTTTGTTATTATAATTTTTGTTGTTACGTTTTCTTAAAAATTTTTGAACTTTCTAATTACCCTATCCATGGCTACGAAAATTAGATCTTATTACAGTATCCATTGTTTCCATACTGTATCCATTTGTTGTTAGTAGTTCTTTGTTATAATTTTTGTTGTTATGTTTTCTTAAAATTGTTTGTACTTTCTAATTACCGTATCCATGGCTACGGTGATTAGATCTAATTACTGTTTCCATAAAATATTTGTTTCTTAATAACTCGAAAACTACTTTGTCTATTGTAATGCCATTTAGAAATATTGGTAGTTAAGCTTAATGTTGTTCATATTTCAATATTATCGGGTATATTAAGCGAGAAAAAACAATGGCTACGGTAATTTGACTGAGAACACCGAATGTGAGAATAGCGAATATACAGAGTGCCACGCCTTGCTTCCTCGCACATCTCTGGTGGAATTGCAGCCTAATCGAATCTTGGATGTTATATTACAGACGAATGCCCGTCGGTTAATGAGACAGTTTGTAATGTAATGCTCAAAAACGAATCTTAAATGTTACATTACAGGCGAACGCTCGCCGGTGGGGGAGGTAGTTTGTAATGTAATGCTCGAAAACGAATCTTGAATGTAACATAGGGCATTATAAGTTTCCGGAACTGGCCACTTACATAAACAATATTTAAAAAGTAATTACAATATTTGAAAATGGAACTCTTTGGCTGTAGAATACAGTTGCATCTGACTGTCACTTGTTTTTACATTGTGGCGTCATTTCAGAAATTGGTTGTGTACCTTGTTGAATCTTTTGTAGTTGAATCTATGGTGATAGATTCAACTCGTGAAAATTCTCGTATAATTATGTTTTTCTATGACTTTAAGGGTCGTATTCCAGAACTCTACTCAATGCTCAAGTCAGGACTTGAGTATGATTTCGAGCACTGGAAATACGACCCTAATGGCTTGCCAATGGCCAAGGACTTGAGTATGATTTTCAGTGCTCACTGCAATACTCAAGTCCTGACTTCCGTATTGAGTAGAGTTCTGGAATACGACTCTTAGTGTAATTAAATAGCTCAGCGGAGCTTCGGTCGGCTTCAAACTGCTTTTGGCGATGAAGCACCATGCAAGACGACTATTTATAGCTGGTTTGCAGAATTCAAACGCGGTCGTGTGAATCTCAGTGACGAATTTCGCGATGGTCGCCCGTCCACTGCTGTGAACAACAAAAGCATCGATGCTGTGCGCCGTATGATCAAATCAGACAGGCATGTGACATACCATGAGAATCGGGCATCTTTAGGCAAAGGCATGATTCAAATACAATCAATAGTACACAAACATTTGGGTGTGAAAAAGCTGTGCTCTCTGTGGATCCCACACAATTTGACTGAGGCTCAAAAAACGGATCGCGTCACTTGGTGCAATGCCATGCTTTCAGATTCAACGAAGGGGCGTTAAATTTGGTGTGGGACGTAGTAACAGGTGACGAAACATGGATTTACAGTTATGATACCAAAACAAAGCAGCAATCGAACGTATGGGTCTTTTGAGATGAGCCGAGACCAACCAAAGTGGCTCGCGTCCAAAGTGTCTCTAAGTGGATGATTGCTTCTTTTTTTAATAAAACTGTCTAGTTTTATTAAAAAAAATTTACAACATTATTTCCAAAACAACAGTAGCCACGTAGACACGTGGCTACTGTTGTTTTGGAGAATCGTTCTACCGTGAATAGTGATTGGTACAAGACTATTTGTTTGCCGGAAGTTATTGACAAACTCCGTAAAAATAACTGTAAACGCCGTATCATCTTGCACCACGATAATGCCAGTTCTCACACGGCAAGACGGACAAATGAATTTTTGAAGGTGAACAACGTTGACCTTATGAGCCATCCCGCGTACAGTCCCGTTCTGGCATTTTGTGACATTTATTTATTTCCAAAAATTAGCAACCAGTTACGCGGTCAACGATTTTCATCACCTGAAGAGGCTGTCGAAGAGTATGAAAAAAATGGTTCAGAGCCGTGTTGGGCGTTAATCTATAATAACTAAAAATATAATTGCAATTACAATCAATTGCAACGTCGCAATTAATTTTAATTGCAATTGATTTTAATTGAATTTATTTTAATTGTAATTAAATTATTGGCAATTAATTTTAAAAAATTATCCTAAGAAATAATTGAAACTAACAATTAAAACCGAAACTACCGAATAAAAGTGTCATTACGAATATGGTACTCATTTCAAAATCCAAGACGGCGGGCAAGATTTTCCAAATATTGGCAAGTTGGGTATCGTTTTCGAGGTATTGGGGGGTGCTCATTACGAATATAGTATTTATTTCTAAATCGAAGATAGCGGACACGACTTTTCAAATAAATGCAATATAGGTATCATTTTTAAGTATTTGGGGGTGCTCATTGCGAATATGGCACTCATTTCTAAATCCAAGATGGCGGACACGACTTTTCAAAAAAATGCAATATGGGTATCATTTTCGAGGTATTTGGATGTGCTCATATTCGTTACGAGAGCACCCCCAAAATACTATATTGCCCATGCTATATTCGACCACGGATACAGTGATATATTAGTCTTTTACTTGCTACATACATATTTATTTCAATACTTTTATGTGCCCTATAAATTTATCATAATTGTCAGTTTTAATTGTTAATCAAAAACAGTGTAAAGACTGAAAATTGATTAATTGTTAATTGTACATATACGCGATTAAAAATTTGATTAATTGTTAGTTGCGAGAACAGCAATTAACAATTAATTAATTGTTAATTGCTGTTCCCGCAATTGACAATTAATTAATTGCCAATCTTTAATTGACTGAACAATAAAATTTTGCCCAACACTGTTTCAGAGATTGTCACGGACGAGTGGCATAAATGTTTTCAAAATTGGTTCATTCGTATGAAAAAGTGCATTAACGCTAACGGAGAATATTTTGAGAAACAATAAATTCATTTCTGACCATTTATACTATTTTTTCTTATTCATTCCGGAAATTTATAGTGCGCCCCACGTACAGGCAAATTTTCGAGGTGAGGGAGCGCCCTAATGGTAATTTTCCACCGGCGCGGCGAGACGAGACGAGACGAGGCGAAAATAGAAATCTCGCCGGCTTATTTCCACCAAAAATTGCCTCGTGCTCGTTCGAGCATATACCGATAAATACGCGGCTGAATTAACATGTCCCGTAAATTATTATTATTAAATATGTGAACGGAAAAAATCAGATGAACCCATATTTTTTAAATCGCAAATCCTACAAGGTCAAGAGCATGTCAAGCTTGTCACTTAAGATTTAAATCCAATTCTATGCCGCTTACGATAAGCACGGTCCAAAGTACATAGTGCCGAGATTGACGTGCTCTTGACTGTACGTACCCCACAATCTCACGAGTGATATTAATGGCCATCGCAAGCCCGTGCTAGACCGTCCGGGCACTCGAGAGATCGCGCGAGGGAATCTTGTTTCCGTTAAAGAGTATAATACTCTGTGAAGGCAGCAATACGGTTCAATATTACATCAACAAATATTTCAATCTCGCCTCGCACATCCTCGTCAATCCAGACCATTTCCACCGAAGATGCGTTAGGAGAGAATTGAAATTTTGCCATACAAATTTCAATCCTCATTACGCCTCGCCGTAGAAAACTACCTTTAGACACGTCGATTTTCACAAAACCATAAAATGATTTTTTATTGGTAAGTCTCTCATCTCATTTTGTGTTCTCTTGATGAATGAGGTGAATGTGGTTTATTCCTTTCTCTTTTGGTGCTTGTATCTTAAATCTATAGTCAAAACTTCATAGTTTCAACTTCAGTAGCTTTACTGGTGCGTAGATTTATTGAGTATTGATTCGTCAATCAGGAATTAATCTTTTATTCTATTAGAAAGTCACCACACTCATTGACGCGGAATCTGCTTGAGGCAGTCAGAACAAGCTGCAATAAGAGCGTTATAGGCGCGTTGCGCGTTTCGCTTCCGTTCCTATCACTGACGCGACTGTCGTCAGCAGCTAGAGCCGTCACCGGCAATACAGTATGTAACATAGTTTCTCTACAGTAAAGTATACTTCTTTGAAAGGAAAACTGGCCGAGCGATGTCCGGCTGCGTAGCGAGAACTTCGGAGATATCAATGTAATATAGAAATTTGTCTCTATTATGTGATTATTTCTTTGAATGGAAATTATCAAAAGAATAAAGCCGCGCAACAAAGCACAGCGCACAGGGCGCGGGCAAAAATAATCATGTTGTAGGTTGAAGTATCGAGTGTGTTGAGCTCTTGACTGGTTATTCTTAAGCTTTTGAAGTTGAGATCATTGAAAATTACTTTATACTTTATCGGACAAGGGTTCCGATTCCGAGCGTATTTTCACCATCTTCATCATCAAAGATAATCCATATACGTACCACTGCATGGGCCGTCTGTAAGTGTAGATGTTTAGGCTATAGTGCGTAAGTCCCTCATTTATCGTTACTATATCAAAATCCAAAATCAAGTAGTTTTCCTGTTGTGAACGTGCTATTTTTAACTCTCCCTTTTAAAATTAGACAATTTTGACTACAGTTCGTTAAGCTAACCTGCGTGCAGTGCAGGATGTAACACATAAATCGAAAATTTGGAACAGTAACTAATGGCGCCACATCATCTATTTCGGTGTATTGTGCAGCGAACAGCATCCGTCTCTACGTATAGTATCCCCGTGCCGCCGGCACCCTTTCCCTATTGAATGATTCCCTGTGCCTTATAGTCTTCTGCATAGAGTGTCAATATTCCCCAACCCGAAGTGCGCGACTGAGTGACGAACGCTCCCGATTCCCACCGAACTCCCGTCCTATATTCAGTATCGCTCATCTCGTGGAAACCGAATCAGTTTGCGACGTCATTCACTAATTGTGGTGGTGTTTGTTTACTCCGTTTTAGTTTTTACTTAAGCGTATTGTTATAGAACTACTGTTTATTTATTAACTAATTACCCAGCTAATCTGTCAATGATATACAAGTGAAACAAATAAATTGTCGTTATCAATAGTCTCGTGTGCAGTGCAACGTGAAGTCAGTACCTACGGAGCAGTGCTCTTTTGATCTTGTACTTTTGTTACTTGTTTTTGATATGTATGTGTAATTAATTTTGTAGTGTTGTGTACTTTTATTCTATTGTAAAATGGCAACGCTACCTCGAATGCACGGTTCTAAACACGGAAATAATGTAACTTCTGCGTTTAGGTAAGTGCCACCTATTTTACTAATGTGTTCATAGAATAGTTTTATAAATCACGCAGAGGCAACTGTAGGTAGAATGTGAATGTTAAAAGTGAATAGAAACACCTTGATTCATTAATGTTTTAAGTATTATGTAATCAGATGAATATTTGTATACTAATGTTTGGTTTTAAACGTTTGATTTTGTCACCTGACCCTTACGGCGATGAAATTAAGCACATACCTATCTATAATATGTAAATTTTAAGAATACTTAGGTATAGATCGGTTTATAGAGTGTAAACGTATTGATATTTAGGAGTTTTAATTTTAATCAAATGTAACACTGATAGAAAACCGTATCGTATCTTACATTAGCACTTCGAATTTTAAACTCTTAACTTAAACAAATAAATAAACTCAAGTGTAACATGTATACAAGTTCACGTGGTCTTTTAAATTAGGTAGATAGCTATTATATTGGGATTTCTTTAAAAAAGTATAGACTTTTTTAAAGAAATACCAATTTATAATAATCTTGAGAAAAATATGTTCAGAAAATAAATATCTCACTCGCAGATCTGTACTTTAGACGCATTTAGGCTATAATTTATCATTATATACTTAGGCTATAATTTTTAGTGTATAATAAATGCACAGTATGAAATAATCCATAAATAAGGCCACAGTAGGATGTTAACCATGTGAAACCATACATAACTATTGCGATGGTTGTAATTATGTTCATATTAAATTAAAAAATATAATTTTTACGTACAAGCTTTTAGTAATTTCTGACAAAAACGCATTGAATACCAAAATACCACATTGTTTGAAAATGTAAAAATTTTGCCATCATAGGTTAATCCCTACATTCAAAATTGATGTTGAGTGGATATGACCATCTATAAGCGACTTACATTTTGATTGATTTTTTATCACCATTAAAACATTTTGTTACAGTACGAGCCCGCGCAAGCTCCAAGAAATGACTCTTCCCACATCAGAAGTTCATGGTAAGTGACTTACCATCTTATCAAACAAAAACTAAATCATTACGTTTACCTAATTTAAAAATAACCGCTCGTCGAATATTGCAGATGTAACCACAGCAAGTGGAATAAGTATGAAGCAATACGAAGACCAACTTAATTCTTTACGTAAGGAAAATTTCCATCTCAAGTTAAGGATTTATTTCCTTGAAGAAAAACTGGGGAATGGAGCGCCGCCTGCAGTTCAGGTTAGTTCATCTTCTTAAAATTTGATTATGTCGGACACATTCTGTATTTAAAACTTTCTGAGATAATATTTTTATTTGTAGGGTTTGTTAGAACACAATGTTAGACTCCAAGTGGAAATGGAGGAACTCAGGAAGCAGTTAACAGATAAACAAGAGCTCCTAGCAGCTGCCGCGGAAGCAATCGACGTTTTGGAGCAACAGGTGAACTATCCTTCACAATAATAAATTATTTAATTTGGATTTCTACAGCTGTAACTTTATTATCTATTTTTCAAAGGGCTCAATTTCAAATGACAGTATTGAAATGTCAATGAACAACGGTTTTGCTTTGAAAGAAGAATGTGTGAAACAGGTAAGCATTGTAATTGTGCTAAATTATATTTGCAAAATTAAAATATTTCATAAACCTAGCTCTTCATTTGATTTACTTTGTATTATAGACTGAAGATAAAAAAAAAGCAGAAGAGAAACAAGAAGTGGTGGATGAAACATGCCCCGAATCGGAATCGGCCATGTAAGTGTTTCGTGAATGATGTTTTATTGTCATTTTGCTTTTCATTTTCATTACATTTGAGGTTTCTTTTCAGTGATTGCTTGGGCACAACAGTCAACAAGGAAGAATTGGTAAGTTTACACAAATATATTATTTAGTACGAGTTTACAATTACACAAATAATATTTAGAAGATTTACTTAAGTTATTATTGCAATATTTCCTAACAGGACGAACTTGAAAGGTTGCGCAGAGAGAATCGTAAAGCACTGCAAATGATTAAGGGTTGCATGAAGAAAATACAACAGCAAGATAAAGAAATTAAAAAGCTGAAATTGGTACGATCTTTTCTATAACGGCAATTTGTTTGCTAATAAAAAAGAATCATCACGTTGCCTAATAATTTATGATTATTTTAGGACAATGAATTGGCATACGCACAAGTTAGCGATTCTCAACTGGAAAAATACGAAGAAATTTTGAAATGTAAAGATGAACATATTAATGATCTAGAAAGTAAAGTCCGAGAACTTCAAAAAAATACAGAAAATATACAATGTCCTGACACCGCTGGGTAAATAACGTTTTTTTTAAAAATACAGATTCTATCGTGTTAAAGGCGAGAGTAATCATATTTTGTTTTTTTTTTCTTCAGCAATCTTCAAGAACTTTTAACTCGTCGTCTACAAGGACTTGCATTTTTCTTGGACAAGCTATTATCTCACAAGTAAGTTTAAAAATTTTAAACTGTGTAACCATAATTTATTACATTTAACTAATATTATTTTCATTCACCACGTAAATTAATCATTTACAGGTGCGTTCTTGGCGAAGAAAAGAAAAAATTGGCTGAAAGTATTCTGGAACAAAGTTTGGCTTTGCCCGTGGGTTTGAAATTGGATGAGTCGATGGCCCCTGAAGATTTCACTATGGATGAAAGCAACCTTGATTTATCACAATCAATGAGGATAGAAGATTTAACCTTGATGTTTGGTCACCATATGCGGTGCAGTGAGGATAATATGTGTGGATCAAGGCGGCACGCCTACGGAAAGCGTATTCCCCAAGCCGATCTTATATCCGAGTCGGAATGTTGGTCGGAACCAGACAGGAACGTGTCACTCGCGCGTGTCGGCCTTTGCGACACCGGGCTTGCAGCTCGAGAGTCTGCTTCCGAGAATAACAAGTATCGTACACGGCGATCTCGAATTTCCTATGGATCTCGGTCCGAGGACAACAGACCTTCCAATGAAGTTGCTATGCTTGACGAAATCACAGAATTAACAAAGCGAACTGAAGAGCTTGAAGATATAAAGAATGATTTAAATAGCAAATTAGATTTTGCTATGTGCCAAATTAAAGAACTTGTAACAGAGAAAGACGAGTTAAAAGCAGCGTTAATCGAAGAACGTCTAAAAACATCACAAGCAAATGATGATCTCGTACTTTTGAAAAATGCCCAGCTCACTTTTGAATCTAAGTTTAAAGATGTTGAACAACAACTGTCGGATGCCATGAAGGTAACAGAAAAGTTGCGCGCTGAAAGACAGGAATTCGAATCTACTTATTTGGAAACCGAGCGCTCACTGAGACGCGCTGCAGATGAAGCTACCGTGCAAGCGTCACAGGCGGCACTGGAGCGAGCTCGAGCACAACACGATAGACTACGGTTTGAAAAAGAATTGGAAGAGACTCGAGATAAGTTGAACACGATTATGGAAAACAATGCCCAATTAGAGATAGAATTGGCTCGTAAAGTGGCTTTGGAAACTCAGAATAAAATTGCCATTATACCTGAAGGTGTACCATCTGAAGAAGACAGACCTACTTCGCCTGATCAGGGTATTGATAGCGATAGATTATCAAGTTTGGAACAAAGTGATGCACTTGCTTTGTCACCTCGTAAGTGTCACTAGATTTTTTTTGTATAATAGTTTCATTTGGACATGGTTATGCAAACTAGAACCAACCCACAAGATGTCACTTTCGAGATAATTAATTTTTTGTAAAAATAGTGTGAAGAAATAAATAGGTAAGTTATTTGAGACAAACAACGTGAGTTATGTGTAGCATTGAGAATGATATAGGGAAACTACTATATTAATAGCAATAAATAGAAAACATTATGTATCTTGTTATTTAGTTAACGAGAACCATATTCTAGTTTTCATAATGAAAACGCTAAAGATCTACAGTACTTCAGTACATGTGACATGGATCCATTTAGCATATTTAAAAAAATACGTTGTATGAAGTTAAGCAGCATGGTTTTTTTAGATATTCAAAAGTTACTTATTTAGGGTTGGTACCCTGAAGGACTTTTATTTTCTCCGTTTTGGCTTGGTATATTGACAGGATCTTTTGTGAGCGGGTAAAGGACACGTCTGGTGTTCTACCTAAATACGTAACTCAATTTCACTCGAGGTGTGGGTTGGTTCTTGTTTGCATAACTTATGTCCATTTGATTTTTCGAAGTCGAGTCATTTACGGATTTTGTTTTTAGGTTCCTTATATGAAGAAAACGTAACATTGAAGCAAAAATTGGCGAGAACAAAGGCGACTCTAGCAGATACGCTAACACAGTTAAATGTTGCCAACATGAGAAAAAGAAGCGTGCAACGTGCAATTTGCCGCGAAATTCACAAAACTCAGGGAGTATTGCGTAAAGCACGCGATCAACTTGAAAATCAAAACAATTAATTCTAACTGAAAATTTGTTGCCTTATATTTGTGTCAATGTAGATAAATAAAGTTCTTTTAATAATAACATAAATCGTTTATTTGCATTCACAATCTATAATATTCATTAGCAGAGAATTCCCTAGTTTAAGACCAGGTGATAGGAGTAGCAATATTGTTGCTAATGAGTTCACCTATGAACCCGTTCATGTACGAATTGAAGAACAGTGGCAAAATCTACCTCTTTGTCAAACTTCTCACTCCAACCTAACACGTCTGACTGGGCACCTGCTCACCTAAGTCACAGGCATATAATATCTAAGAGCGATTACACCCGGCGACTTGTAAGCAGCGATAATCGTCGAGTCGTTAATCGTCTACCTTTATAGTTTACATTTTTTCGCGTTTGCATCAATGCAAACTAACGATAATTAAATCCAAACTCACGAAAGAAATAATATAGGCCATACAAATATTTCTCCTGGCACTAAATCGAACCCGGGACCTCTGCGTGGCAGTCCAGCAAGGTAACTGTTCGCCCATGCTTTGCATGCATGCTAATGCAGTCATGCATATGCATGCTACGTAGGCAATTAATTCGCGCGCTTTCTCGCGCAGCGAAGTGTACCATTCCTTATAATAGGGGTTAAAGTATGAAATTGCCGATTTGTACTGAAAATCTAAATTGTTTATTTTTTAAATTTTTAACAAATTTATTTAATCAAAATAGTTGCCATTATTATCTATACATTGCTGCCATCTAATGGGAAGGTTATTAATGCCTTTGCGATAGAACTCCGACGATCTAGACTGCACAAACTGTGTGAAAGCATTTTGTACTGCCTCCTGGGAAGAAAACTTCTTGTCACGTAGATAATTGTCCAAATCACGAAAAAAATGGTAGTCCGTTGGAGCAAGGTCTGGTGAATACGGAGGATGACGAATGGTTTCTAACTGCAGTTCCTGAAGGGTCAAAATGGTTTCTCGTGCTGTGTGAGGTCTCGCGTTGTCGTGGAGCAATAATGGTGAAGATCGATTCATGAGTCGGGGCTGTTTTACTGCTAGTTTTGTCAACATGGTTTCCGAACCACGGTTCGGCACAATAGACATCTGCCGTTATTGCTTGACCAGATCGGAGAAAACTATAGTGAATAACACCATGCTGAGACCACCAAACAGTTACCATTACCTTTTTATTGGTAAGTTTTGCTTTAGGACACTGTTGTGGCATTTGACCTGGGGTCAGCCATTGCATTTTTCTTTTCCGGTTATCATAAAGAATCCACTTTTCATCACATGTTACAATTCGATCCAATATTCCTTCATTTCTGTACCGGTTCAACAAGGCAACACAAGTTTCAACACGCGTTTCTTTCTGCAGATCAGTCAAATCATGAGGCACCCATTTTTCGTATTTTTTTATTTTATTGATTTGACGCAAGTGAGTCAATATTGTGGGTAAGGTAACGTTAAACCATGCCGCTAATTCCTGGGTAGTTTGACTAGGATCGGCTTCCACTATCTCTCTTAATTCATCGTTATTCACCTGTGTGGGCGGTCTTCCTCGTGGCTCGTTCTTTAAGTCGAAATTTCCATCACGAAAGCGTTTAAACCAAAATCGCACGGTGCGTTCATTAGTAGACCCCTCTCCAAACGCAGCATTGATATTGCGGGCTGTTTCTGCCGCATTAGTTCCGCGTCGGAACTCGTATTAAAAAATCACTCGAATTTTCGCAGTATCCATCTTTCTTGTCTAAATTGAATAACCAAAACAATTGAAAGTCGATATTCAAATGTTTCAAATTTAAAAAAAAAAAATCACAGAAACCATTTGAAAAAAGTTTCATTCGAAAACCTCAAACCATGAAGATTCTATGAAAATTCAAAGAACCTATTGCAATAAAACGGCAATTTCATACTTTAACCCCTAATATTATTTTCTTTCTTCACTTTCATACGTGCCTATTTAAAAAAAATACTTTGCGATTGTGTTTTTAATTTTATTTGCTTGGCTTTATTATCGAATCTATAATTAATATTGAGTACGGTAAGTCCAAATTAGACATTTTTAAGGAGCATTTACTGTAATAAATAACAATTTTATGTTTGTGATTCAACAATTAGGTACAAAATTAGCAACCTACAATGTAGGATTGTATTTAAAAAAAATTAAGGCTGTACTTATAAAAATCATTATAACTTTATTTTTTAATGGCGCGAAAAGTGTGCATTTTGCATTACTGTTACCTATACGGATGCCTAACTACATTCCACTGTTTATTGAAAACTTGCAAAAACATTAATAATGCAGAATAGTTACGAATTTAATGTTAAAACTCCTGATTTTGTAAAACTGGGATATATTATTGCTATAGCCAATGTAGATGACAAGCACGATCCGTCGGCTCCTACAAATTTCCACTGGAAAATTTTGAAATGCAGGTAGCGTACCAGACCTACAGATGAAGCTTCAGTGTATTTTCATTTTATATATTAATAATATTGTAACCACAGGATGATAATATTTTCCAATTCTTCGATTTTGGCTTCTCCTGACAAAAATGACTGTAAACAAGTGCATATAATTTTCAACAAATTCGGAGACGACTACGACAAAATCACTTCTTTGTTTATGAAGTTCTCGCTTCGCCAAGTAAGTAACATAATAAAACTTTAAAGTGTATTGTGTATACTAAATAGGTAATAGAAACGAATATTTCAGTTCTTACACTTTCGCGATTGTTACACATTGGAAATAAAACAACGATATGCATGTATGTATGTACACGAAACTATTTTTTTGGATTTAAATCGCGAAATGAACCGAATAGAATGTACAATATGTTTAGTATAATGAATGAATGTAATGAACGTCGGCTTTTTTATAAACAAATAGGAATATACTTATATGCGATCTGAGAGCATAGGTGTATCACGTACAGTATTGTATTGTAGTTGTATGCTCTAAATTCGCTATTTGGATCCGAAAAAATAATTTCATTTCCAATGAATATTTAAGTCTTCGAATCCAAAATCGCATAGATGTTATGAAAGATTATTAAATGTAAAGCCGTAGTAGCCTCATGGTTTGACCTACCGGCTCTCGAGCTGAGGCCGTGGCTTAATCCGGGCTCGCACCCACGAGTATCTCGGAATTTATGTGCGAAATTTAATTTCAAATTTACTTTTGAGCTTTTCGGTGAAGGAAAACATCGTGATGAAACATGCACATCGAAGAAGGTTTACAACCCTCGGGAAACGTGTGCAGTCCCCAACCCCCATTGGCCAGTGTGGCGGAATATAGCCAAACCCTCGCCTGAGAGGAGTCTCGTCTGGCGTATAAATGGGTTGATGATGATAAATAAATGTGCAATTTTCTGGACCGTCGTTCTTATCCCAGGTGTCATAGAGTTGAAAAGTGTCTAACTTGACTTGCTCTTGTCCCTGTAGGTACATCTTGGAATAAACTAGGCAATTAGTGTTTTTTTTATGATACCAATTTTGCCCTGATAAGCCGAAAAGCGCTATCTTAATCGGAGTAAGTTTTGAGAAAATTAACTTTTTGTAAATTGTATTTTCGCACCTTCATAAATAAATCGTTTTGAAGATGTTAAAATTTACTTATACGTATTTTTGACTAATAGGTTTATTGACATACCTAAATTATCCATAAATTGTATCACTATATCTTTTTTGGTGAGATACCGCTATTTTGATTATAAAGAAAGCCGCCAAATGTAGGAGAAAGGTGTACCAGATGATCCTCTTAAGGGAGAATGGTGGTAGTTTAAAAGATATTCAGCTTAAAGCAGATGTAAAAGCGTTGAATGATAGAAAATTTATACTAAAAACGTTTTATTTTTTACTCTTTCATAATTATATTTTCATATTTTTAAAACCTTACTAAAGGATCGTCTTGGACACCGGCGTGTCCAAGATGATCCTAAGGGTATGGATTAAGATGATCCAGGGGATCACCTTGCCTCTATTTAGGAAAATTTCTAGGTTTTGGTAGAAAGAAATGAAAACAACAACTTTTGAGACTTAACAAAGTCCTCACTTATGTAATCTAGGTATATGAAACAACAGTTACGGAACTTCGAGAACAAATAATCCTAATTAACTGATATCTTACAGGTACCTAAGAGTGGGCGATATTGTTTTTTATGGCAAGTTGACATCCATCCTCGTCTCCATTTCTTTAATGTACTTTACGAGCTCGATTTCCTGTTTGACACTTCTGATGAACAGTTTTTTTTTCACCTAAATATTTCATTGAACTGACAGACCCTTTATTTTTTTTTACCTTTAGCCCGTCTTTTTAATGGCATAACGCGTACCTAGTGCGAACTATTTACTTGCCGATCTATGTGGCGTCCTACTTTTTACGCCTCTAGTTCTTTAGATCATAGTCTTCCGACTAGTTCCGACCACCCACCACGAATGGTTTTTCTTTTACAATTACGCGGCCTGGTCTAAAACAAGAAAAATCATTTATATTTGTTATTAAACGATATCCAGTGTTCTACTATTTTATTCGTATAAAGAAAAACATACAAATTAAAAATAGTCCGTTAACAATATGTACAGTACAAGATGATCCCCACGGATCATCTCGTACACCAAAACCATGATCATCTTGCCCCAAATTACTCATTTTTATTTTTTGTTCGGCAAAATAACCTGTATGCTGTTTTCTGTTACCAAGCCATTAAAAAAGTAAATAGAGCATTATATAAAGCCACCAACACAAAAATCTTAGCAATTGATTGCTTAGAATGGAAGTTATCTAAACTTTTAATCAACTTTAACTCAAAGATCAAACTCACACAATTTTTTATTTTTTCCACAAAAATGAACTCGTCACTCACATCGGCATTATGAATTGACTGATGAAGGCGCGCATTGAGGCCTACATTTTACCGAAGAAAATATCTAGATGACGTTACTAGTTTCGCTACAATTGAAAAGGATCATCTTACCTCCAAGGATCATCTCGTACACCTTTCCCCTATTAGTAATTTAAGGAAAAATTGAGATATAAAAATACTTCTTAGATGTTTTTTAAATGTTTTAAGTTAGATAGCGCTATTTCTATTATGCCATTAGATGCGAAATTATTATAGCTATTGAATGATATAAAAAAAACTAAAAGAGCGTATCTCAGAGATAGCGCCTTTCGGCTTAGCAGAGCAGAATTGACGATGATGGGACGAACAAGTCGTGGCCCTGGTGGTAAGCTACACGCCTGTCCATAACAGTTGCAGTGCCGCTCAAAGCTTTAAATCGCAAGAACCTGAACACCTATCCCTAAAACATACGTTGACAAGTTCTAAGTGCCTGTATTTCCCTGGAAGAAATCTTTCACAAGGAGTTCTATTGCTGCTAAATGTATCTCCTCCTATTTTGTATGTAGATCAATGGAATAAGGGAAACGACTCCAGATGTCTTTCAAATGTGTTTCACATACACAATGACCGCGAAACTGGCTCCACTATGGAATATCCTAGGACAAAGCTACTTGATACACAACAGGGACTTCCTAACGACGAATTTTCCTCAAGACGGAGTACTGTACAATGTGTCTAGTAATGGTATACCGCGTACTTCAACAATGCAATAAAGTTTGAATGTGTATCGTACTTACCTACAGCTTATATGTGTAGACATTGTACAGGGTGTTAGGTTGCAAATAACAGCGAAATATTAAACGGGTTGTTTAATATCGATTCGAAATCATGTACCTATCGATTTTGTTTGGGTGTTTTTTTATAAATGCGGTTTATCTGTGTTTTGTTTTTATCAAATCTTATTATGTTAACCCTACCAAACATGGATTTCAACGGCCACTGTAAAAAAAAACTTCCAACTACCTTGCACCCTGTATAGTATAGACATTTAGTGCTGGGTGAAGGGAAACCGTCTTATAAAAAAAGAAATTGTATTTTAGATCTTATACAGGGTGACAGGTTGAACGAGATAAATATTTAAACTTTAATGAGTAACTGATATTTAATCCGAATTCGTGACAAGAATCATAAACATAAGAAAAAAAGGTGCATATTCGATCTCGCGCAGAGTAGTACAAAATGTTAGAGGCAGTATTTTCTTTAGAGAAAAATATTTAAAAATAAGGTAGTGTTTTTTTTATATATTCGGTATGGGTATATCAGCTACCTACTCATTCGCTTAAATATTTACCTCGTTCAACCTGTCACCTTGTATAATTATCTTATTTTTCAGAAAAGTCTGATCATTGTTCCAAATTTTGTCCTATACATATATTTGCTTTCCCTGAAGAATGTTTTAAAAAATTTACACACCTTGAAAATGTTTTACAAATATTATTGACAGTCCACAATAAACCAAAACAAACTGCTGATACTTTTTGCATGTCCCGTTTCTTGAATGAGTACTTTGAACATGTTGACTTAGTTTAGCGGACTACAGCGTATCAAGCTACACATTTTCTTTCGTTGCTCTGGAGGCGACATTCGAACAAAAGTGTTGATGTACGTACATTTTTGCAGAGATAGCAACAACGCTAGAATTGAAACCGATAAAAATTAACATAATTAGATCGGACGATGATTATGTTCCTGGCGAATGGGTTAGAGTTTTGCCGAGGTAAGCATATCCATCCAGAGAGTTCATACGTTATAGAGTCGGTACCACAGAGAGACATATATATCGGTACGGTTATGTACATGTATAGGGTAGATACCGTTTATTTAATTATGAGGTTCTACACTATATATGTGAAAATGGATGTATGTTTCTCCCGTATACATTTCATTATTATTCATCCGAATGCTATAAAACTTTCGTCAGTTGTTGCACTTATGCCCGCCAATTTCTGAAGTATCAGAATCCACACGGGATTTAAGGAGAGGGTTAAGGTTTTAATCCAACACGCTGCCTGGCGCAATGCGGAGGAGGGAGGCTTCCCATGGCATATTGGTTGATGTTGCCAATATTAGTTTTGTTGTTATTGTCATAGTCTTTGTTTCAGCCTTTTCAAAGCCACCATAGATGACATATACGATAAGTTACCCGATTCGGGATCTTTCAAACGCTACAAGGATTTAAGGCGTCATTGGAAAAATATTGTAAGTCGACACTCACTAATTGTATGATATTCTACGAATGTATTGTATTCGCATATAGCATAATAAGACAAGTAGGGTACCTCCCGCTTGTTCGGTGCATCATTGCTTACATTTCGCCAGAGAATAAGAACTTCGCTCGGAGCGTGTGGTTAATTGTCACATTATTATTCCAGTTGATACCTACAGATTATCAACATAATTTAAAAAATTAAGCTGTTCATCATACTATTTTCGTGCTATACTGAAATAACCTTCGTTAAATGGAGTCTCTTATACCAGTATCGAAGATACGTATTTCTATTATGGGAATGCGATTATTAAATAGAAATCAAATGCTGAATTTGAGTCACTCTTGTTCAAACCTCCAGACCTATTTGATGTCATAGTTTAAACACCAAGCGAACGCATCAATTCTATAATGAATTGCGCGTGAGTCGACCCTTGCTATGCAACGTGAGTGCAACGCGAGATTGAGCGAATGTGTGTGCATGGGTGCGGTTTGTAAGATATAGATGACGTATACTTGGTCGATATAACGCTCAAGGGATATAATAAATTTATGGTGTACAGACATTGTAGGTACCTATTATCATTTCCATTACACACTCGTCATTCTACTGAATACAAGCCGCGCTGCTACGTTTGTTCGTAAAGAGTTATCCTACTTGTCTTATTACACGCACTATGATATTAATATGTAATAATTTTTCAACAATGATAATATTAACTTGTATTGCGGACATTGATGCGTGTTACAGTCACAAAAAAAATGTCGAAGAAGGATTTACACACCTAATCACTATTTTTTATCTGTATGTAAGTACAATTAAATCCGTATCTCCATAACGACAAAACGTTTTGTGGCAAGTGGCGCATAGTTGCGGAAAATCAATGAAGCATAGGTACTTTGTATTCTAATATCATCATTACAATACAGAGTATGCTTTATTGACTTCCCGCCTGCTGTACTTATTGTAGTGGCAGTGGTTATACGGCAAATAAAACGTAGTCTTGGTTCTACAGCATGGGTATCGCCTGCCGGAAGAGGAAGTTTCGTCGTACTGCGCGGTTCAGTTCTGGCGCGGAGAACCGCTGACGTATCCGAAGCTCTGCGTTTTAAGACACTTTCCGATCATAACACCAATACCTAAACCGGCAGAAGTTGGTTTTTTCTTTCCATTTACAATGACGGATGACTCCTGGTTACCAAAAATTCATAGAACTTTTTCTTTCAGACAATTGTACTTACCAAATTTGTAAGTTGCCTAAAAAGCAAAATGTCTCATTTTCTCGGTAAGCCGCTCACAATACAACAAGTCAACTCGACAAACGAAAACAGTGGACTTCAACATGTAAGTTAGGTTTTGACACCTGATTAATAAACTAATATTTGGAGTCCATATGTTTACATCTAAATTCCAAATAGTTTAATAATGCCGTTTTCATAATCTGCCACGCATCATGAACAAATTCACTCCGCACCTTTACCTATACCTACATGAGTACTTAGTAAAGTAAAAAAATATACGAATACCGCGTTTATTGTAACTTATTTTGATTTTTTTTTTAAATAAATGGTTATGCAACTAAACTTCCAAAGAAAATAAAATACCAAGTACCAAGATGTTGTGCGGCGGTTTGCCGTAACTTTGTATAAAAGACTACTTTTTAAATAATTCCTACTGTAACTTGTTATTTTTTTACAGACGAGGAACGCAGCAATTACTGATACACAAGCTGTGAGTCTGTGTACTCCAACGCAGCTACATCGAACTAATTTTTAGTTTTTTACCCCAAATTACAACAACCTTTATTTATTAATTGAAGTCATTTAATTCCTAAATCATTTTAATATTACAATATAACTTACTACAATTTTACTTTGTCTTAGTAATAATCAGGGCCATCGCCCACTCATCAGCCTAATAAATAATAAATTAAAACATGCCTACCCTAATTTCTTTACTATTAATAAAGTTGCAAGTCATAAGGTTAATGTGGTTTAACGGTAGGTACGTAGTTACTTTATGTGATAAATGCGCAAAAGTATACGAAGTTTTTGTTTGTCTTCCAGAAACACTGTTTACAGCCCATTAGGTAGCAAAAGACATGCAGTATAAATTATAATTAATGTGGTCTGTTGTATCAATTTACGTTTTTGTAGAAAGGTATATTAATGTTTTTAAAACAAAAGGATGTCTGAATGAATACAAGCGAAGAATATAAAAAGGAAAAAAAAAATTATAAGAAGTTATACATATCGCACTTTGAAACCATATCATCACTAAACGATAAAAATAACT